AACGTTTCCATTATCATTTATGTATGAATTGAAGATGGAAGATTGTATGGTAGATCAATGATGTATAGAACCCATTCCTTTTCCCTGAATGAAGGTGGGCGTGTGTTTATAGGGGCAGGTGTACTTATTAGGCAGAATATGGTATTAATAGAATCTTCCCCTACCCTGAGGGTGTGATAGAGAAATCTCCAACCCGAGAGGTGATTTTTGTTGTTGTCTAACCCGAGGCTCTGCCGAGGGTTAGACTACAAAAAAATCACCCCATGGGTTGAAGATTTCTTTGTCACATCTTCTAAGGGTAGGGGTTGATTATTTTTCTCCCACCCCATTATTTCTGCCACAACGTAAAAAAAAAAATCCCACTGTACAAGTGTCTGAATGGCGCATGAATATCACCATTCACGTTTCCAAAAATCTACATTCTTCCGCGAGAGCAAAAATGACAGACTACAAACGCAATGTGAATAACCATTAGAAATATTAATTTTGTGGAAATTAAATATTTTAATTAGAGATAGATACATGGAAATACTTGTATTGAACAACATTTAACTCTGTATCATTTATTAAGGTAGGATAGGCTTGCCGCGATGTCATGGACAAAAAGGGGATTTCCCAGTTTATAATGACGTCAATTGTTTATGCACGCGAAAAATTGCAATGGTGCGAGTTTCACGCGTGTGTTCATTCAGGTCAGAATCAGAGTCATAGATGATCCTCTGACGTTTATTTGTGTTCACTGGACAAGGATTGTTATAGTTAATGTTAACTGTGGTGTTACAGTCGCGCATTACGGAACCTGCAAACAAAGCATCCACTCGTCGGTTTGAGTAAGTTGTGATAGCCGACTGAGGTCACCGAGTGCAGTCATGTGGGATAGATTTATCCTCCATGGGTGTTCCACATAGGACATGTCTGTCCTACATGAGCTGAGGTGGGAGAAATAATGATGAATTTCCCTGAAAAACCAACAAAATGGCATTATCTATAAGTCTTACTGTATTAATCCATTAGCTTTATAACTCCATGCCTGGTGATAAGTCAGTCTATATCACTGTTCCTTAAAAATCAAACAGACTTTTTCCTTGTCCTGTAATAAGCCCACCACCTTCTTTTGAGTTAATGCATTGACCTCATTGGCTTATTACAGGACAATAATTGATCCCATTTACACTTTTGTAAATTGCCTGAATTTAAGTTTCTCTGTTGGAAAGTTCAACAATGCTTTATGTTTAAAAAAAATCCCGAAATTTTCCTTTTAAGTTAAGGAACATTCATGAAACTGGGCACGGAACATTATTAAATCTCATGGGTGATGTTCATTCTTCATTTTAATGTCTATGGGGCAAATGTAAAATTTTATTTTCAGTTTTTTAGCCGATTAATCGTTTGAGGATGTAGGCCCTGGGGGCATAGAGTGTATTTTCATTATCACTAGGCCGTCTGAAGTTGATATCTACTGACTCTGATCTCCTCGGGAATAGGATTTTCAATATTGAATCGGAGATTTAATGAGATAATGATCATACTATCCTAGATGGGCATTGGATCTGTTAAAACTCTTTATATTTAATTTATCAAAATAAACAAATAACATATGTTTGGTTTCTGTATAATCTATTTCGGATTATAAACAAATTCTTATAACTAGTAGCTCATGATTTGATATTGGAAACATAAAATTTGAAAGTGTCCATTATGGTAAATAATCTCATTTGATATGCTTATCCTTCTAACAAATGTCCAGCTGTCATTTTCTCTACATTAATATTTTGTAATTTTCATTTTTTATTAGATTAACTTAAATGATATTTAAAACTTCATATATTTAACATAATTAAAGATAAGAATTAATACTAGTAAACTTTTGGTATGGATCATGATGATTTTCATTTTCAAAAGAAGTTTGCAGGATTAAAGAAGTTAGGAGTGCATTAGGTATAATTCTCTCCCTCTGTGATAGTGTACCTGCTGTAATTGTCTCCCCTGAATGCCTTATTTCAATAGTGGTTAGATAGATTAAGTATGTTTTTGATGACTTGTGGAGTTGAAAGAAGATTCATTTACTTTCATGATTAAGCCATTAGACTGGTTTTACCTGTAGACATATTGGTGATTAAATATGTTTGAAATTTATGTTTCAGAGTTTACAAAACTTTCCCAATGCCATAACTAAGCTTTAGATCTTGAAATAACATGGAATAAAAAAAAAATTTGTGAAATTAAAAACTGACCAAAGCTATGCTAGAGACAAAGGGGTTTTACAAAGGTATTTTATTGTACTATGAATAGTATAAGTTGTAGTTTTAACACATTGGTTGAGAGTTTTGTATGCAGAGATTCGTCAATCTTCAAACATGTATCTTATTAATGTTGGTGTATTTTTGGTTGCTTCTTTGGATTTTTGTCCTTGATATATCTTAAATATTTCTAAAAAGAAAATCCTGTTTTATTTTCAAAAAGCTAAAAAAAAAAGCACAAATGTCAGATATTCCATCTAATCCTGTAAACGATATCCATGCTGATCGAGACAATTCAACAAATAATATGTGTGAGATGCGTGTATATATATATACTTATATATATACATATGTCTCACACATGTTATTTGATTATTATCAGGAACTTCTAGTATTATCATTAAGTAGTTTCATTTACTTCATAAGCTATCATTCAATTAAGGATTAAAAAATGAAGTATTTATTTGAGTTAATTGATTTTATCCATATCATTTTAATCAATATTTTTTGAGTTATTCATTAACATTTTGTTCCGAAGAGATAGTATCAGTGGCAATTTATTTGTTTTTAATTCTATAAAATGTTTCGTGAAAACAAAGCATGTGGTTTGTGGTAATTGTATTGAGACCAGAGAGCATCGAGATAATGCCAGAGTTTAGAGAGACTATTGATCCGATCGTGAGATTTGTTTTTGTGTGTTATTAGCCGTTCTATAAGCTGATTATAAACTGCACGTTTCATCTGGTGTCCGTCATTCTCCCTGATCCACCATCTATCTGAAAAATGCGAAGAGGTGCTTAAACTAAGTTCATAAATCATTCGAGTGGCAGACAAGATTGGCTAATTTTTTTTTTGTTTCAAAGTAGATTAAAATTACGCAGAAAATATCGGTAATTTTGTGTACGAAACGGGTTTCTATAGCTTCGGGAAAGGCTATATATCCCACTTATCCGCAGTTTTTCGCGCTGACTTGTAAGCCCCATGGATAATCACTAGTACAATCTCCAGATCTTGCCTAATTTTAAAGCTTAAATTCCAATTTATACTTGTGTTGGAAATTAAATTTGGGTGTGAAATCTAACATTTCCATTTCCATCTGAAGGCTACGCAGTAATGAAATGCTGTACTCAGTTGATTATCTTACCTTTTTAAAAAAATATTTGTATGACCTGACTTGTATTTATCTGTGAGGGTTCCTCTAACTTCCATCCAGTAATTCACACTATTGTGTGATTACAGGGAAATTGAGAAGACCAATATGACCTTGTGGTTGCCAAATTTTACAGTTTGAATATCTAAGACATCCTAATTTTGTCACCAGGGACTTTCTATAAGCTGGTTCTATGATGATCCTATATACAGAATATTACATAGTAAAAGAGGTATACGTGACACCGAGGTTAAATAATTGTGATGAGCAATCTTCACTTTGAGACCAAACTGGATTACTTCCCTTTGATTTGTTGAGTATTAATTTTGAAATTAACTTTTAGTAATTACTGGGAAAGTTCCATTGAAATTGCTTCTGGAAATATTTTGAAGAGTTGTACGACGTTTGAATGTATATGAGAAGCAAATTCAACTTTATAGTGTAATTTCATCAAAGAACGAATGTTGGGATATATTAATCATTGCACCGTATTTTCAGGATTATAAGTTGCAGATTGGTGGTCGGACGTGCGGCTTATGTACTAGTGCGGTTTATATATGGACCCCCCCCCCCCCCCCCCCCAAAAAAAAAATCGACAGAATTGAGAGGGGGAAAAAATGAAGCATACGAGTACGAGACCTTACCGAATCTTTTATGAGTACATGTCAATCATGTGTTTGTCACTGAAACAGATCGTCTAGAACCGTCATCGCATACACGATGATTTTAAGATTGAAATAAATCAAAATTCTTGTGGATTTAATTAATCAAACCTTTTAATATGAATCACAAAAATAACTTCTAAACTTTCGTGGTTACTTCAGAAGCCATAGCGGAAGTTTACAATAGCCTGATGCATCCTGGGATCGATAGGTCATCAGGTGATAGGTCAAATTCAAGAAAACTGCCATGCTTGTTTACGATAAGAATGGCTTCATGTAACTTAGGAGAAATAATATGGGAATATAAGAATTTTGTCAGCATGGAAGGGCCTTCGAAAATATCATATATACTACAGACATCGATGGAGAGATTGTTAAGTAAACCATACGTAACATCAGTCCCTATATCTGTACATAGACAATCTTTAAAGGCTTCCAAGCCAAACAAGTTGGATAATTGCTTTTTTATGTTTTTGAGACACATCGATAAAATTATACTATTTTTTTGTGTATAATTCATTTGCAAACCTATATTAAATGTTTCACTGTCTATCATGATAAATTTCCTTCTGTTGTTTGTTATATCAACAAACTTTGGTCAACACAACGGTTACCATATCGTAAGAAAGGGTGCGATTTATAGTCCAGTGCGGCTAATATGAGGATCAAATAGAAAAAATTGTTACAAATTGGCTCAGTGCTTATATACCGATGTGCATATAACCCTGAAAATATGGTAATATCTGTAAAGCATGCAATTGTACTGGTTGTCAACCTTTTTGAGCCAAGTATTAATTCGTGCAAAAGGTCGTCAATACGCATTGACAAGAATCGGTACTTGGTGAGAATAGGTTGGCAACCACGGCTGTGATAATTTTGAACATATTTTATCATATCAAGTTTTTTATATTTGAATGTTTAATGTGTAATTGATTTTTATGGTTACAGAAAATGAAGACAAAAAGGAACTATGTAAAGTAGCGTACACGGAGGATGAGCTACAACTACTGCGAGATGCTATTGAGGACATGTACTACTTTGAATTTGTAATAGGTATGTTACAAAGTTTTCAGGAATGTAGTCCTCCCATTTCATGTATTATAGCTGTCCACTATGTGATATACAGATTTCTGGTGGTAGTACTGAGGTGAGGATTCCTGAATGGATAGTCGAGTGATTGTACAGTATGTTTTAATTTTGAAGTAATTGGCCTTGACCTACTAAACCCCGACATTTTGACCCATTCCAAATCACCAAGAGGCTCTTATACATACACAGCAATACTCATCAGCGTGTAGAATGAGAAATATTTCTTAACAGAATTTTATTATGATGAGTGGGATTTGTCTTGGAAGAAAAGCTGAACATTTCAGGCCCAATAGACCTTTTGTCTTCTCTGCTGATTCAGTTCCATCCTAAAAGGGAGTCTGACTTAACCTTTGAAGAAAATTTGAAAAATACAGACCCGATATACCTCTTGTCTTCTCTGATGCAATGTTATTCTGACTATGTAATAATATGTCTATAAAGGTTGTCAGTCTCCTTTAATTATTTAATGGATACAATTTATAATTAAAAGTTCATTTGGGAATATATTCATGCAGATTTCATTGATTGAGAGTGATGTGAAAGAAAACATTTACCTACCACAAGATATTAAGTTCACTTTCACCGATATAAAATCAAAGGACTAAACTGATTTAAAAATGGAAGATCAAAAGGTTTACAAATGTTGCTGAGTCAGCATATTGTTTTAAATGACTCACAGAAATTGGGGGAAAAAACAATATTGTGTGATCTTTATAAGGAAACTGCAAGACTTCCTTCATTTGTAGCTGTCCACAGGATATTAAATCTAACAAACACCTACTGTCATATATATTTATACTGAACAACCTTCATATCAACAAAAGTTTTTTGTAGATCAATTGGAAAATAAAAGTGGTATATCATAAGAAAAGCTTATCCTAGCTGGTACTGCACATGCCGGCTACTTTTAGTCCCACTGCATGCTTTGAATATGGAAAGGGTCTTGAAAAATTATTTTTAAATGCTTTTAAAATTCAAGTGATGTCTCCAGTGTTCTTGCTGTAACCACTGGCAATGAGATTAAAATTTGAAATTTGATGTCGTTATTAAGTAAATTTGTTCATAAACTTGATTTATAGCTACTTATCATAAATGATAGATGATCATGCTCAATGTACGTAAAACGAAAAGATTTTTGTCGGCTTAAGTCATTAATTCATGGACATTCAAATGTAGCTAACTTTACCATATATCTTGTGTTAATAAGTTAAGAATTTTGTATTCAGAGTAAGTTACTAATAAATTTTATTATGAAATTTATTTATTGCTCTTATTAAAATAGTATGAATGATAATATATACAGGGAGGAATGGGTACCAAAGACAGTAGAGTAATTTCACTCTGACCCGATCTATTTGGGATTCTGAATCTTTCACGCATACTAATAGAAATCTTGCAGATTTTTGACATTTCATGATTTTTATTGTTGGACACTCAAAGGTAATTAAAATTTATAGAAACCTGTCTCGCCAAATTTTAAAATGAGATTAAAATTTTAATTAAGATTAGTTATTACAGGAAGCTAAATTTATGTGGCTCATGATATATGGAAAAGATGATCTTGCATATCAAACACGAATACAGTAATCTCGGGATGAAAGACATTAAGTATTTGACAGCTCGCAAAAAGATATTTCTTGGACATTTAATGACATATATTTAAATTTAGAGCATATTGCCATATCTTAGAGTCATATTAAAATTAAAGTTTCAATTTTAATAAGAAAACTTTGAAAATTTTGAAATTTATGTAAAATTTAATTTATTACTTTATAATTACATGTTGCATGTTAGATGAGTTGACTAAATATATGTAAACAATATACAATCATGATTTTTAACTATTGTCAAGCTTTTTCTACTTTTGGATGTTTAATCTATGGATGTTATGTAAATGTCAGTATATGTGTTCTTCCATTATATAAGTGTTGATGGCAATTGCCATTTTGTTTGTATACAACATATTCCTTCTCTTGAAAAACGAAATGGGATCTTGCAATACTTGACCATTAGGGGACAAGAATATCTTATTTCCTTGTTCTACTGCCTGAGAGACTTAATAGAGGGCAAGAATATTTGTCATTTCCCCACTGCCTGACCGACTTAATGCCTTATATGTTCTGCCTACCACTGTACTTATAATAACTGGTCATTGGGGAAATGAAATTTATCTCTGTAGTATTTTATTAGCCAACCATCTGATGATTGTAATTTGTAAAACATTTCCAACAAGTCACCATCTTTGGTTTAGGTATTAATATTTTGTTATTTCTAGATAAGTACTGGTTAGGTCTTTCTCAGTTTTTTTCCTGTGTGTTCACTTTAGTCCTTATTTCTGCTTTATCCCATATTCCAACCAATCCGAAAAACAAAATGATTAACAACATTGCTAACAGAAGGCCATCTTGGATTTTGACAGGGGTAGTTTGTTATCATTATTTTTAGAGAAGTACTTGATAGATCACCCTCAAATTGCATATGATAGGTAGCCATCTTGGATTTTGAAAGTAACAGTGTCCCGAGAAGCATCAACAGTTTGTTATCACTATGTCCTGAGAAGTACTGGATGGATTTCCCTCAGATCTTAGGTTTCCCTTGGTCCGATCTTGTGCCTTTTTGGTTTTAGGAATGTCAGATAAACAAAATATTGACAGGCGACCATCTGTATTTGACAGCAACCGAAGATTGTGATTACTACTTCTTGAGAGGAATTCTCAAATTTCATATCATTAAGAGGAAATTAATGAAATCAGAGAAAAGATGGGGAAAGGTCCAACTTTGAAACAGCAAATGAAGATCAAACAATAATGAATGCTGATATCCCATAGATCCTAATGGGATCTCTTTTTACAATATTTTGAACAGTTACTGTAGTGTCTTTTAATTTAGATCAATGTATGTTAAATATATCCTGATTACGATACAGATGATATCCCGGTACGAGGGTTCATAGGACACCTAGAAGAGGGTGGATACCTGCCACATACACACAAGATATATCTGTGGGCCCACCTCAACTTCAATATAGAATACAATGGTGACCAGGTGAGTGTGTCGAGATTGTTAACTCGGATAATAATAGTTGTAATAATTCATATTTCTAGTGTTTGATAATTTGTAAAATTTGTGATAAAAAACCTCTTATCCTAGTTTTTGTGTTTTTTTGCGAGATTCCTGCAAGATGCAGTGAAAAAGAACATTTAAATTGATATCAGACTTATACAAAATGTTGACAAAATGGTATATTCTTTGCTTTTTTAATAGATTATCTATGCCAATGTAACGACAAAGGAACAAGCACCTGTAGGTCTCGACTCAGCTGTCACTGCTCCATTTGAAGTGGCATTTACTTACAGTGTCAAATGGCACAAAACAGAGTATGTACTGGTGATGTCTTCAAAAAGTTCATGAACTGTGATCCTTTATTGTTTTAACAAGAATCATTGATCAATGATATTTATCTATCTATATAGTGTGCGTGTTGTAGCGTTTTCACATGATGAATAAATCTACTTACATCAGTGGCATTAAGAGAGTTGGAGGTACTCGTCTGTAAACACTTAGATTCTGTTTCACTCATGATTTCAGTTTCATTTGATGGAGTTAAGATGAAAAGAGGGAAATTTGACTGGTCTTGGCTTAAAATAATCACTGTTTACTTCTGTGTTACATATATCATTTTAACTGTAGAGGTCATCTGGAAGGTCAGAAAACATTAAAGCATTCATATGTCTTCAAGAAAGTCGGGGGGCATCTAAGTATTGAAAGGTCATTTAGAAAGTCAAAGGTTATAGCAGCATTGAGAGGTCATATAGAAGACCAGGGGTCAAAAGTCATCCATCCAAGAAGTCAGAGGACATCTTATAAGAGATCATTAAGAAAATTTGGGGTCATATCATCATTTAGGGGTCATCTAAAATGTCGGAGGTCAACTACCCAGGTGTCATATCAGCATTTAGTGGTCATAGGTTGTGTCAGTTTTCAGAAGAAATTTTGGTTTAACTTGAATTTACTCAGTAAAGCAATTTTCCTGTGCATCTTATCTAACGGTCGTTTATATCAGTACATTGACACGGGACAGTCTGTTACTGACTGGTTAATCAACTCTGATAGGGAATCAAATAAAATGTTTTTATTATGTTTCCGCTCAATAACTGATTAACTTAATTACAAAAACAAACATTCTGAAATCAATAGAAAATGTACTGATAAGGAACAGCTGATCTGTTTAGTCTTCTATAGTATTAGTCACTGTCTATTTCTGGGCTCATTTTCAATTTCAGAATGAAATATGAAGAAAGAGGAAAGCGTGTCCGAGACAACAGCTTCTTCCCAAAAACACTAGAGGTGAGGCCAATATTTTCTGTATGAATTCATTCTTTTACAGTAAAGCCTGTTTAAAGCCAATTACAGTGATCTAAAGCAATATAGAATCACACACTCTGTGATTGGTTATATCCTTGTTTTCAATATGCAACAGTGACTGTGATTGATTATATCTCTGTATCCCATGTTTTCAATATGCAACATAACAGTGACTATGATTGGTAATATTTCTGTATTCCACTATATAATAGTGATTGTGATTGTTTTTATCTCAGTTTCCACTATATAGCAGTGAGTGTGATTGGCTGTATCTCAGTATCTGCTATATAACATTGGCTGTGATTGGTTGTATCCTAGTATCTCCTATATAACAGTGACTCTGATTGGTTGTATCCCTATATCCCACATTACATTTTGTTGATTGTTGTTTTACAGATCCACTGGCTGTCCATCATCAACTCCATGGTGCTGGTGTTTCTTTTGATTGGTTTTGTTGTTATTATACTGGTATGTCAGCTATTTATAAATTAAAAACCTTATCAAATAAAAAAGTTAAAAAAAAATATAGGTTTTTTGGAAAGAAATGTTTATTGATTTATCCTGTCACAATTGGAGATAAAATTAGAGATTTAGGCATGATTTTAATCTATGGAAATATACATTGCATCTTCAGATCCACAGCTACCAAACAAAGTTGGAAATAAATTTTACTTATGTCTATTTATGTCTTTGTTACTAGGGTAGTAAAACCAAACCTTTAAATACATAAGGGATTGTCCTGATCTTTATTTGAAAAGAAATCAAAGTTCAACATGGACTTAAATTTTCTGGGCCAATTTCACTCTGCTGAACATACCCCAGAGTCCAACATGGACTAAACTTCACTAAATTTTACTTCGCTGAGTGTAAAACTTTACTTTTTTCTTGATTTATCAATAAAAAGTTGTATTACTCTTGTTTTTGCTTTTTCACAGACTAGAGTGTTGAAGAGTGATTTTGCACGTTACAATGTGGACGAGGAGGAGAGCGATGATTTAGATAATGATGATAATGGATGGAAAATTATCCACAGTGATGTTTTCAGGTTCCCTAGTTTTAAAAGTCTTTTCTGTGCTATCCTAGGTAAGTATGCATACAATATCTCATTTTGATATTTGCTGGATTATGTATGGAAATATTTCATATTGACTCAAAATGGCTATGGTCAACATATTGGGACACTTTGCTATCATTTAAATCTGAATTAAAATTCTGTACACCATTATCAAATTCTTCAGTGCCATCAGTAGATGTTAGGTGCAAAATCTTCATTAAAACCCCTTAGGGAGCCTCATTTCCATTTGGTCATTTGATGTAACTTAATGACATGTTAATTGACAAGACCACTTTTGACACTTTTTTGACAACGATTTTGGTACATTTCTGTAACAAATTAATCAAAGCATTAAGGCCTTATGATTCTGATTATAAAGTTAATAACATCCAATATGAAGGACATTAAAGGCCAATAGTTGAATTTCACATATGTTGTAAAAAAAGAAAAATATTTAATAATTATGTGCTTCTCAAAAATGTTTTGCTGATGTTGGGCAACATACATGCTCATATCTGCTAGCATTGTCTAAGCTTGAAATACAAGAGAAAGTATATGACTGACAGTGTCTTTAATTATATATTATATTGTAACGCCCAGTGGTGCAACAGGACCTATTGAAGCTGTTCTATGTAATATCATGATTCCAATATAGAAAGAAGGTTGAAGAACTATCTAAAATTATTTGTTAGTAGGGAGACGATTGTGAGATATAAACTGTTTTTTAAGTTGACATAACAATAACACTAGGTGTACCTGTATAGTTTCTTCAGGGCTGTTTAGTTACATCTGTTATGTAAACACTGTTTTAATCTTATTTTCCTTTAGGTGTGGGCACACAGTTTTTAGCTCTTGCCACAGGAATAATGATGATGGCTATCCTTGGAATGTTCAATGTCCACAGACATGGTGCCATCAATTCAGCTGGAATTATTCTGTTTGCTTTCACTTCATGTAAGTTTAACATTGAGCTCAGGGGTATGAAAACATTGTGTTGGGCACAGTATGGTCTCATTTGTTTTGATGATCAACATAAAATTCTCAATGCATGGATTTGATCAAAATTCAAAGATAACTGGAGACTTGGCAAAAGCTGACTACTGATGATTGTAGAAAAAAATATTTATTAAGGTGATTAGGGAATACCTGTGAAGGAGTACCTGTGGGGGAGTACTAGTGAGGGAGTACCTGTGGGGGAGTACCTGTGGGAGAGTACTAGTGGGGGAGTACCTGTGAGGGAGTACCTGTGGGAGAGTACTAGTGGGGGAGTACCTGTGAGGGAGCACCTGTGGGGGAGTACCTATGGGGGGGTGGAACCTGTGGAGGAGTACCTATGGGGGAGTACCTGTGGGGGAGTACCAGTAGGGGAGTACCTGTGGGGGAGTACCAGTGGGGGAGTACCTGTGGGGGAGTACTAGTGGAGGAGTACCTGTTGGGGAGTACTAGTGGGGGAGTACCTGTGGAGGAGTACCTGTTGGGAAGTACTAGTGGAGGAGTACCTGTTGGGGAGTACTAGTGGAGGAGTACCTGTTAGGGAGTACCTGTGGGAGAGAACTAGTGGGGGAGTACCTGTGAGGGAGTACCTGTGGAGTAGTACCTGTTGGGGAGTACCTGTGGGGGAGTACCTGTGAGGGAGTACCTGTGGGGGAGTACCTGTTGGGGAGTACTAGTGGAGGAGTACCTGTTGGGGAGTACTAGTGGAGGAGTACCTGTGGAGGAGTACCTGTTGGGAAGTACTAGTGGAGGAGTACCTGTTGGGGAGTACTAGTGGAGGAGTACCTGTTAGGGAGTACCTGTGGGAGAGAACTAGTGGGGGAGTACCTGTGAGGGAGTACCTGTGGAGTAGTACCTGTTGGGGAGTACCTGTGGGGGAGTACCTGTGAGGGAGTACCTGTGGGGGAGTACCTGTTGGGGAGTACTAGTGGAGGAGTACCTGTGAGGGAGTACTAGTGGAGGAGTACCTGTTGGGGAGTACCTGCGGAGGAGTACCTGTTGGGGAGTACCTGTTGGGAGTACCTGTGGAGGAGTACCTGTTGGGGAGTACTAGTGGGGGAGTACCTGTTGGGGAGTACTAGTGGGGGATTACCTGTTGGGGTGTACTAGTGGGGAAGTACCTGTTGGGGAGTACTAGTGGGGGAGTACCTGTGGAGTAGTACCTGTTGGGGAGTACTAGTGGAGGAGTACCTGTTGGGGAGTACTAGTGGGGGAGTACCTGTGGAGGAGTACCTGTTGGGGAGTACTAGTGGAGGAGTACCTGTTGGGGAGTACTAGTGGGGGAGTACCTGTGGAGGAGTACCTGTTGGGGAGTACTAGTGGGGGAGTACCTGTTGGGGAGTACTAGTGGGGGAGTACCTGTGGAGGAGTACCTGTTAGGGAGTACTAGTTGGGGAGTACCTGTTGGGGAGTACCTGTGGGGGAGTACCAGTGGGAGAGTACCTGTTGGGGAGTGCTAGTGGGGGAGTACCTGTGGGGGAGTACCTGTGGGGGAGTACCAGTAGGGGAGTACCTGTTGGGGAGTACTAGTGTGGGAGTACCTGTATGAAAAACATGACATTAGTTTGTTCTACTGTCACTGATTTGAAAATCAGTGAATTTGATTGGATTTTGCTTATCATTGATGTAAACAAATATGTTCAATAACTTCATTTCCAGGTCACCTGAGAAAAAGTCTCAGGGTGGCCTATTGCAATCCTCTTTTGCTGTGTGTCATAAACTTTCAACATTTTCAATTCCTTCTGGAAAACTCCTGAACTGATTTCAATGAACTTTACAAAAATCCTTCCATGGCTTAAGACACACCAAAATTTAACTTTATGGTCTCCAACCCCCAGGGGCCTGACGGTCAGGGCCAAAAAGGGTCAAATTGATTAAAATTTCAATTTGAGGTACTTTTCATGGGTGGAAAGGTCTTCAGATGCTTTACAAAAATTGTAAATTTCATGACACTAGGGTTCCAAATTTCCCCCAGGGGAGGGGGTACAAGTGACTATATTATACAGAGGAAAATTATATTTTTGGGCATAAGTTGTTTATTTTCTTTCAGAAATTGTTCAAACTTGGTTAGAATTCATTCTTTATCAGTATAAACTGACTGTTTGATGAGATGCACCTTGACTGACCCCCAAGGACTGGTGGGCGGGGCCAAAAGTGGATCAAATTGAGTGAAATTTCAAAGATGTTTTACTGTACCTGGATTAAAGATTTTATATAGAAAAATGCAAATCTTGAGTGAAATTTCTTTTAATTCAAATCTGGTGATAAGGCTTACATTTGTATTATATCACTCTTTTAAACAAAATCATGTCTGTGACATGTTACAAGAACCATTGTGACTCAGGTGACCGTTAAGGTCCTTGGGCCTCATGTATATCATCAAGGCAAAAAAAGGCAAACTAACACTTCATATTAAAACTAACAAGGTTATATTAACTAGTGTATTCAGGTATTTTGAATTACCCAAATCTTTTTTTCTTTTTTTCAGGTATTGCTGGTTATGTAGCAGCCAACATGTACAGAAAGCTAGGGGGAGATAACTGGGTGTGGAACATCAATCTAACTTCTTGTTTATTTGCAGGTAATGTTGAATATCCTTTGATCGTTTAGGGCATGAAAATCCTATATCTACCAGGAATATTAGTCACTTATTTGATTTCACCATTTATAAGTATAATTTGGTCATATCTTGTGAGTTAGCAGTCAAAAATGTGTTGTAGCCAAAATAATTTCTAATTTACCTGATGTATTTCACAAATATGGAAGAAAATACCACATTCATTCACTTGATTTCACACTGTTTAAAAATATAGTACCAAGGTAGTATTATTCTGCCACACTTGTATATATATATATGTAATTGTACACACAAGGCAACATCAGGTTTATTTATGGTATTATTAGAGAAATGCTGTTATAGGTTAGATCATAGTCACATGACCACTTATCTTTTATGGTATCAATGATATGATATCTTTGTAGGAGAATGTTTTAATTGATCTTTATAACAAAAAATTAATACTTCAGCGGTAGGAATATTATTATCCTTTATAGGCAGACATCGCATCAATACAGTCAGACAAATATTGTATAAATCTACCCATTATTACATGACATAAAGCTGGTGTTTGGTAATAAGCCCACCCATATCTATTGCTGTTACTATGATAAAAACAAGGGTTATGTTCCATAGTCCTGTAATAAGCCCATCTCCAGATTTATAGAAGGATTTGAATTCTTTGATTTCCTGGTCTTATTGTTGGATAAATACAGTAAGATAAATGTGAACTATTGCACAAGAAAAAAATTTCATTCCTGACGTTAATCTTTCAACTAAACACTTACATTATTAAGGTATATAATTCAACAGAACTATTTATTTTGAAATAAAGAAAGTTGTAATATAATTCATTTCAAAGGCGAAGGTATAACAAAACAAAACAACAAAATAAGTGAGGTTGATTTGAGATTGCAACAAAATCATGATTAATATATGACAATCTGTAAAATTTCTCTGTTAATGACATCCATGGTGTTTTTATTTTTTTTTTTACAGCACCCTTCTTCTTGGTGTGGGCAGTGGTGAACTCAGTAGCCTGGGGCTATGGTACAACCCAGGCGTTACCATGGACAACCATTGTCTTACTTATGTGTTTATGGTTATTTGGTAAGTATTAAGGTTTTACAAACCAGTTGATTTGTTTAACCATCTTCCCGCCCAAACTTCTGCGACATTCTTGTTAGACAAAGACTTCTCTTACTCAGGACAAGTAAATCCTGATTTTTTCCCTGTGTGAGATTTCCCTGTCTCTCACTAGGGTTGAGACAAGCTACATATGGCCTTTGCACATTTTGAAAACTACTCAAATGACGTCACTGACGTGACCTGGAAGTGGAACTACTTATATGAATTCACACACATACGCTAGTTCGTCTGCTACTGAAATCTTTTGTGATCCACATAACTGAAAATCCACAAAGATTGACACTCATCTTAATCCACAATATTAAGATCTTATTATTAAAATATCAAGAGTATAATTTTAATTGAGGTCTTATTTGTATGTTCATTAGAATTATATTTTGTGTAAGATTAAATCACAATGTGTGAAATGCCTAAGGTGCTGACCTTGTCTCTATTCATACGCCATCCACATACTTTTGTTTACACACAATACGCTTCGACTTGTATTCGGACAAGGAAAACGTGGTAAGAGAAAAATGATAAATCACCTCATTTAAGGTGAGATCGGGGGAAGATGATTTAACTATGAAACGTGAAGCAAGAATCGCGTTGGACAACTTTATAATCTTCAGTTTTGGGTTTAGATCCCCCTATCTCACCCTAAAGGAAGTGAAAGAGACTATAAATCTCACACTGAGAAAAAGCGTGTGGATTTTACCTGTCCAGGGTAAGAGAATTCTCTGTCTCAAGTACAAGAATAAGCATGTTTTATACATAGTTTTAGTGCCAGAGGTTACCTGTTAAATGTATAAACACAAACATAAAGAATAGATTGAAATTTGTATTCATTTTACACAAAATAAACTACTCTTCTACAGATTTGTAGTATAACTGAAACCCCATGGCACTTCAGGGAGTCTGATAAGTGCAGGGTAACATATTACTTTATATGACCTTTATATGACCTGTAATGAAATATGAAACTGCATGAAAATTTAACATTAAACATGTAATTACAAAACAAAAATATTATCTGACTTTGGGGTTACAATCCAAAAATGTTGAATCCTAAGGCCAAAAATGATTGAAATTAAGGCTGCAGTCTAATTGAAAGAGAGCCCAGAAGAAACAAAAAAGTAAAGAAAAAATTAACAACACATTTAAAAATAAGGTATATATTACTAAAAAGGAATTTTTTCAGGAGATTCGACTTAAAGATAATTCTGTCTCTGTTATAGTCGGCTACCCACTCACTGTATTAGGAGGCATATTTGGTAAAAATTGGGCCAATGGATTTGATGCCCCTTGCAGAACAAAGAACATATCACGAGAAATCCCACCAGTGCCATGGTATAGATCATCTTTTGCCCATTGTCTTGTGGGTGGATTCTTGCCCTTTAGGTAAGTGCATTTAACAAGATGGTCACAATGTTTCGGGTCAATCCCTTGAATTTGTTAGAAGTGAAAAATTCTTTGCAAAGGTTGTTCAATAAAAAATCTTCTGATTGATAAGATTATCTGTAACGAATTTTACTGTCAGGTAATGAGATCAAATAATTGCTAAATAATCAAATATTTTAAGAACCTTTTATATCAAAAGAACTTATCTGTTTCAGACAGGTTTATTATAAAGGTATGAAAAGAAATTATTTGTATCATTCTGAGTTGACATTGTGTTATAACATTGCTGTTACAGTGCTATCTCTGTGGAGCTGTACTATATCTTTGCTACGCTGTGGGGCCGGGAGCAATACACCTTGTACGGAATCTTATTCATAGTGTACGGCATCCTGCTGAGTGTGACAGCCTGTATTTCTGTTGCTCTCACCTACTTCCAGCTGTCTGCTGAGGATTACAGGTGGTGGTGGCGCTCCATCTTCAGTGCTGGGTAAGTGATTGTCAATTTAGCTATTAAAGAACATTTTAGGTGGTGTTGAGATACAGGGCTCCTGGTAAAAATCTCAGAGTGGTACAATTACCATTTCTTTGGCAATCCCCGTCTGTATGATTTTATCATTTTCTCGAAAACTGTTGAACTCTTGATATAGTGCTTCTAGAAGTATTCAAGGAAGATCGTGATTATAGGGCAACACCCCCTACTCCTGGCCAAGGAGCCTGAAGAATAGTTTATACAGCTGTCAAAGTAGCACACATTTCCCAGATTTGATGGGAAATGTATTCAAAATTTCCAATATGGGTTATGATAGTAATCTTCTATTAAAGTTTGATGGATCATATCTCGCATTTTAAGTTACAAATAAATATTACCAGCTTTTAAAGCCTTCCTGTAATTTCGGAACCATGTTAAACTTTCCGAAACTTCTGACTTGAATGACAGATACTAATAATACCAATAAGTACATGTATTTGATATTTTCACCGTACGATGTAATTTAATTATTTGATGTTTTTCATGTCATTGCAGATCAACAGGTATCTTCGTGTTTCTGTATGCAACGTTTTACTACTTCAAACGGTCAAACATGTCTGGTGCCTTGCAAACTCTGGAGTTCTTTGGCTACACAGCCCTCAGCTGCTACGTCTTCTTCCTCATGCTCGGAACTGTGTCATTTTTTGCTTCTCTTAATTTTGTGAGATATATTTATGTAAATCTGAAGATGGACTGAAAAAACACAAACATCTGAAAGATGCAGTTGTTATAATATTGTTTTGCAAATTCAGCTTCTCTGAATATTCTGAATTTTTCAACATCTTTTCTGTTAAAATGAATCCAACACATTGTTGATTGATGTTGCTTTTTCTTTTATTTTTAATTTTTTTATATTAATTCTTTCTTTTTCACTCTTGGGTTAGATAATGACTTGCTCTTATTGGTATTTCATGGTTCAAAAGGAGAATTCTTTCCATCCTGAAATATTTGAAAATTCAGACATTTGCCATTTTAATATATTGACTATTAAGTCTTGGTCCAAGTTTTGTTTATTTTAGATAAAAATCATTGGTGGATTTTTTTCTAGACAATGAAATATTCATATTGATGTTTGTTATTAATTATTCAGTAATGGCTTGCCATTTGAATTGTTTGTATAATTCCAACAGTTTGAAAACATTTTTTCTGCATTTACTAAATACAGACTTGTCTAATGAACCTGTTGACAATTTTGCATTCTCACAACTTGGTATTGGAAAACACATCCTAGTGTTGATTGAAAAGTTTTAAAGAATTGCATCTTTTGTTACAGGGTTTTCAAAAAGCATAATTATAGACGATTTTTTGATTTGTTTTGATATACTGAAATATTGTATATCAGAATAAAGCTTATTTGGTGACAAAAATTAGAGAAAAAAAGGGGGGAAAAAAACAAAAATTGTGATAGATAAATTTTTTGTTTTTCTTTAACTTTGAGAAAGATGGCTTTTAACTAGGGGTAACAGTCTTTTTTGGCTGTAAAAGTGAACTTTATTTTTCCTTCACTAATTTCTTGTATTGAAAAAACTAAAAGTTGTGTATTTATTTTGTTGTGATAATTGTGTAGTGAATTTGAAACAAATTTTTTTAACGTATTAAGCACCTTAACATCATTACAGGTATTCATTAAAGAGGTCTTCTAGGTCACACTAATTTTTTTTTCCTCGTTAACAATGTTCAATATTGTTGTTTATTCATTTGATCAGAAGGTTGCTTCGTCATAAGTGAATATACCCATCATGTGTGTCTGAGATCATGTGTCCCCGAGATCATGTGTCCTGATCCTTGTGTGCCCATTCAGATTACCTTTTCCCGATTTTGTTATCAAACTAAATATCGTACAATATATTCTCGTTTGTCTTGGTGGTAGAGACACTTATGGAAAGAGAAACATAGCAGACTTGGACTAAGTTACACCACATTGGTGAAGTTTGATGAGACTAATTTGTGACATTTTTTTCTTTTTGATTGAAATATCCACTTTGTTTTTTGGCAGAAATTTGTGATGTGCTTGAAACATGGAGAAAACTGTGGTTGTTTTGTTAGCTGTTTCACCCTTGAAATGTATCGGCTCAAAATTCCACAAATGCGCAAATTACACAGTATTTTTTATAGTAGTTGGTAGGCTGTAAGAAGCGTCTAGAGTTTCATGGTTCTGGGTTTGAATCCATGTTTTGTTGCTGTATGATTTACACGTTTACTGACATATATCAGGATCCATAGTATTTAACCTTTTAAGTAAGTCTAACCTTTGGCAGTAATCTTCATCAGTTGGGTGTTTAGTTTATTCTGTAACAAATATAAACAATGACATTGTGACATCACACACAAGTTACGTAACGATTATTTGGAGTGTACTTACCTATGTAACGACTGTGTGATTGTGTATATGCAGGCTCATATCACTTGTCCAAATTCCATATTTTTCCACTTTTACTTTTTTAATTAGAAACATAAGATTTGGGGTTTGTATCTGTATCGACCTCGATACTTCAGGGGTTTCACTTACTTTCTGCATCCCTGGAACATTTCATTGCAGAATTGGAGTTTCCATGTTTCCAAGAGAAAACTAGTTTGATGATTTGATGAACATCAAACAAATCTCAAGGTCACATAATGATGCATATTGGCTTTGAAGTTTGGTGTTGTTTCATTTTAATCTCCAAATGAGCATAATGGTCTTTGATTGGTCTTTTTTTTTCCTCCCAAAACCAACACTAGATTAATTAAATTACTTCACCTGTGGCTTCAATTTTGCCAGGAAAGCGACAGTGATTGTAACCCTTGGAGTGTAGAGGATGTATCTATATATATGTAAAATTTTGAGGGATTCCAATGGTATATTGTAAACAAAGAAATTGACGTGCATGGTTGATTCATATTTGTGCATTGTTATTGTTTATGCATAATGTTTTGCCATAGAAAAAACCACACATCACTGTGTGTTATATCAAAGATTTACAACTATACTTCAACACAAAGTAACTTTTAATGAAAGGATTAAATTAGGGAAATGCATTAATTTTCATACGGAAATTTTAAATTTCCGACTGTATATTTGATGGTGTTTAAGTATGATTATTCAAGCTTGTTATGTTTTATCATATTTTCATGATTATTATCCGATTGGATGAAGTTTCTGTTCAGATATTTTTGTGGAGTATGGTATCCTACGGTAGTTAAGACATTTGAGTGGCATACAGTGGCCTACCGTAGTTAAGACATATAAGTGGCATACAGTGGCCTACCATAGTTAAGACAGTTCAGTGGCAAACAGTGGCCTACCGTAGTTAAGACATTTGAGTGGCAAACAGTGGCCTACCATAGTTAAGACATTTGAGTGGCAAACAGTGGCCTACCATAGTTAAGACATTTGAGTGGCATAGTGTGGCCTACCGTAGTTAAGACATTTAAGTGGCATAGAAAGGCCTACCATAGTCAAGACATTTAAGTGGCATAGAGTGTCCTACCGTAGTCAAGACATTTGAACATCCAGCTGATAGCCCAATGGGCTACTACATCACACTTTCAACTTAAAGTAAGGAGACAGACCTATAACAAGACATTGGTATACTATTTGGTAATTATTTTAGATACTGCATTAGACATTGGCGGGCTTATTGCAAGACTATGATTTAGTGTTAGTTCATAATTTTACAGTGATGACAGCGATGAGTGGGCTTATCACCAGACTTTGGCTTATTGCTCGATAGATAACTTACATGGATTATTTGTGACAACATCTTGGTATGTCTCGACTCTTATCACTGTACAAAACTTGTGATATTACTAGATGTGTCTTGTGACCACTTGTTTAATGTGATTTATTTACAATGTTTCAAACTCCACTAATGACTTGTGTTGACAATTATGATTGGAACAATAGAATTAGGATTGTGCCATTTGTCCTAGGAATTTGTTTTCTTTCTTCATGCTGATCTGTTAATAGTGAATTTGAATAAAGCTGCCTAAATTGGTGAATATTTTATGCCCCAGCTTTTTTATGGGGTGATATCCTTTTCTGATATCTGTTCTGTAAATCATTGTTCTCTGTACCATATTTTGGAAACTGAACAACATAATTAGTTCATATTTTATTATCAAACATCATGTTCAACACCCCACCAGATTAAGGTGACCATCGGTTAAGGTTAAAGGGTCAAAGGTCAGATTGACAACTTCTGCCAATTCATCAAACAATGATACTTATATGCATGTAATTGAGGGCATGTCTTACAGAAATTTTCTGGTTTAAACTGCTGAAAGCAAATTGACCAGTATACTATATTTTGACCAGTGGTTGAATGTTGATTTAGAGCATATGTGTGTGTTAGTGATATGTTGAATGAATTCTAGTACAAATGGTGTACATACAACTTGTTTGCTTTTCTTAATGCAGTGGTCTTTCAGAAGAATTCATGTATATTGTAGTATAGACACCTAGGATGTTCATTAGATATATTGTACATAATGACATTAATGTTTGACATCGCCCTAGGCTATAGTGGGAACATATATATAACGCTGATTTTGTTACCAGGATGTAGGATGAGTGTGGCTGTTAATGAAGTTATTGTACTTGGTCCCAGACCTGGGACAGTCTAGGATATGAAAGGAGATTGTACTGAAACTGGATCTGGAACAATTCAGGATGTGAAAGAGGATTGTACTTGGAGACCTAGGAGAGTTGAGGCTATGAAAGAGGTAGTTGGCAATGTAAAGCTGCAATAATTTATCTGTGTGTTATCTTGATGACTTATATAGGTTCACGAGATGCTTATCTCTTTACCGGTGTTACCAGGAAGGAATTGCTGATATTACCTTATACTAAAACATATGCACTGGGGTCTTATCATTATCATTACACATGTAGATTTTCTTTTTGAAAATATTCCATTGACAAGTCAAGAACTATTGTAAGAGGAGAAAAAATGAAAAACCCTTTTTGCTTTTCTTGGTAAATAAATTTGTACTTACAAAGAACCCATAAAATCAATTTTTGAAGAAAGAAAATGATACATGGGTTGCATATAGTTTGAGTGAAATATGACACATCTGTCAATTGTCTCAGCTTTGAACCGTATGAAACAAGTGTATGAAAAGTTGATATTTGTAATTACTTGTACGTTAATGAATACGTGTTGGTACTGAACACAAATAAAATGTATGTAAATGTAATTAAAACAGAATAATATATTGGGCGATTTCTTAAACTTGTGTTGGCTTGTTTATATACAGATAGACATAACCATGACATTAATGATGGGTACATATAACGTAATCGTAGTTTGTTGTAAAATGGTGTGGAAGACACATTGGAAAGCCAGACAGAAGGATGGTCAGGCACTCTTGGTCACACTGATTTGATTTTTAAAGCTCATCATCATCAGAAAGTGGGATGTTTCAATCCCCCTTCAATTCTTGATATCGCTATTTCTAAAGTTCTGGATGGATCATTTTCAAATTTCATTTTTGTAGGTTGCCCCATGATTCCTAGTTTGAAAAGACATTTGGGTGGCCATTTTGAATTACACAATGTTATCTGTATTTAGAATAACAGGATGGATCTTTCTCAAATTTAACACCTAGGTTTGCCTTTGATCCCTAATTGTTTCCTTCTAATTTTGAGACTGGCAAAACACAATGGCTTACAGATGGCTACCTTTGACTTGACAGCTAAAGACTATTATCACTATTTCTCAAGAAAAAACTACATATAAATCATTGTAATTAAGAGCCAACCCAGAGGAAATAGGAGAAAAGTGAAAAGATTGATCTTTTAAGAACAAATAAATTTCAAACAATTTTTGGTGCTACTGGAATTTGGTTTGAACAATACTCCAACTTAAGAGAATCATATTATTTTTTTTTCTCTTTTCTTTTTCTTCTTTTCTCTTCTCTGTTTTAGCTCTAAATGATCAGAAATTAAACATTCCTTTGCAGCAATAGCAATAATAATAATCTTTAACTGCCAAATCCAAGATGGTCACCTGGAAGCCATTTTGTTTTCCTTATTAGTCCCAAAATAGTACAACTAGGAACCCTGGGGAACCTACACATGAAATTTGAGAAAGACCCATCTAACAATTCTCAAGGAATAGCCATACTAAACTTTACATGGTGAAATCCATGTGGCTACCTTTCAGCTATTTTGTTTTTCTGATCAGTCCCGAAATCAAATGGCCACAAATAGGGATCATTGGGAACCTGTATGAAATTTGTGGAAATTTGAGCAAGATCCATCCGGTACTTGATGAACGGACAGATGACTGTGATTTGAATAGACCTCCATCTGATGATGATGGGCTTTGAAGTTTATTAATGTTAACTAAAATAGAACTTTCAGACAGCCTGCAATGGAACTTTGTGACAACCTGCAGTAGATTTGTTCAGACAACCTGTGATGGTGTAGACTGCTGAGTCGTGCGGTAATTAGTTCAAGAACTCCTAGGGACCTGAACATGTGATCAACAATCACATGACAAAAACAGCATAAAGCTGCAGTCTCCAGAGATCTCAACAGAAACAACAAAGACCAATCACACTTTGATTTACTTTGATTTCATTAAATAAATGAACATATTTTATATCAAACATGACAAAATTCTTAACATATTTGATAATAAATGTTCTGTTATGCATGTCTAAAAAAAGTTGGGTACAAAATAGTAATGAGCAAATGCAAAAAAAATAATTATCAAAATCAAAACGGTTAATAATTAAACTGATTGTAATGAAATCATGCAATGAATCGTTGTGGCTCAATTTCCATTGATTAAAATATCATTAGTGTGACAAACCTTAAGTATTAGCCATTCAAATGAAGATTCAAGTTGCTTATAAGCAAGAAATCTACAGTTACATCTTCACCTATGTGAGGGTATTACACACTGGTGGGCAATTACACTGGTGTGGACATTACATACCTGTGGGCAATTACACAGGTGTGGACATTACACACATGGGCAATTACACAGGTGTGGACATTACACTGAATAACATTACAGAAAGGATATTAAACTATGGCAACACACACCTTAACATAAACTACAAAATTATAATTATCAAAAAAACTTGTCATAACAACTTTTTGTGCTTACAACAACAAAATTATGGATTGTTTCCCAGTCCATGAAAATCCTTGTCCTAATACAACATCTAGTTAAAGGACCGGGTTTTTTTTTTGTTGGTTTTTTTTTTCCATTAATGGAAGGGTTATCATTCTTTCTTTTTACCTGCTCCACCAATGACCTTTTTACGTTGTGCAATCATATGCATGAAAAGTTGTGGAAATACTGAAACAGGCAACAAAACAAATTCATTGTTCCTTGCAATAATATATGGTAGTTTTTAAACTTTTTACAGAAATGACAGGAATTTTATGAATTAAATAAACTTGTTCATTACAACAAATAAAATTCTTTAATTAAACTGTTGTTCATATTTTCAATATAATATTATAGAAAACAGACAGTAAAATGATGATGATGATGATGATGAGGAGGAGGAGGAGGAGGAGGAGGAGGAGGGGCAGATACTTACTTGGAATGTAAACAAACATGGTACATATGAGAAAGTAGTAGTAACTAAAGGACATGTTGAAGCTGTTAGGGAGCGCTACAGAATATAGGCCTCTCTCCTTCACATAAGGTAGACTGGCATAGATGGTGAGTAATTCTCCCTGAAATAAAATCTTCAGTCATTAAAATGTTGTCTTCTTTTTTGTATTTATGCAGTTAAATGTAGCAAATATACTATTTCTTGTGAATTGTTAAATGTGTCCTATGATAATCTCTTTTTCTTTATTTCAAAGCGGTGAAAATTCACAACTATAAAACATTTTGTCAAATTCAAAAGTCATATATACTGTTATAAAAATAATTTTTGTGGGGGATTAATGTTCGTTGATTTCATGGGTTCTCTTAGATCAATGAATTCATACGTCCATGAACTGTTAAAATTAGCACAACCTGATTCATTGAGATGCATTTTTTCCATGAAATTAGATGTCCACGAAACAGCAGTTTTTTTTTTAAATCCACAAAAATCGAGCCTCACACAGATAACTGATTTTCCAGCATTAAGATACATGTATTACAAAAAATTAACTTTTTACTAAAATTTTGAAATCTTCATATCTACTGCGATCACAGTGCACAAGATAACTTTAGACTTTTTTCAAATCAACTTTACATCAATATTAAGTGCTATTCTCAAAATATTTTATTTGCTGCTAACAATTTTGAATTTTATACAATTTTTTTAGCTCACTCGGTACAAAGTTTATATTCATTTACTGCAACTTTAAAATTTTAAACATTTGTGATTATTATAAAATATTGGGTTACTGAGGACTTTCAACCTTTTATTGAAATATAATACATACTTTAAACCATTTTAGAGAAATTAGTAGTCAAATCTTTGTCAATCTACTTATCAGGTAAAAGGACTGTGACAATGTAATGAAATTTAGTCACTAACTTACAGTTGAATATTAAGGATTTGATGAAATTCATGATAAATTGACCAAACTTCAAAATTACAAGGGTCTAAAGGATTCTACCTATCAAAGACATCAGTATTTGTATTGGTCAATGGAAAATTATTATTTCTAACAGTATATATCAATTGTAACTGTAAAGTCAAGTAAAAGACTTCAAATTAATTATAAAGTTGATTACTATAAAAAAACCTTTATAAAAACAGTCAACACTTACCGTCACACCAAATGGGTAGAGTACCAGGAAAAATGTATACCTGTAACACAGAAGGCAAACAGTGGCTTACAGTGACACTGTAGGGAAACAGTGACTTACAGTGACACTGTAGGCAAACAGTGGCTTACAGTGACACTGTAGGGAAACAGTGACTTACAGTGACACTGTAGGGAAACAGTGACTTACAGTGACACTGTAGGGAAACAGTGACTTACAGTGACACTGTAGGGAAACAGTGACTTACAGTGACACTGTAGGCAAACAGTGACTTACAGTGACACTGTAGGGAAACAGTGACTTACAGTGACACTGTAGGCAAACAGTGACTTACAGTGACACTGTAGGCAAACAGTGACTTACAGTGACACTGTAGGGAAACAGTGACTTACAGTGACACTGTAGGCAAACAGTGGCTTACAGTGACACTGTAGGGAAACAGTGGCTTACAGTGACACTGTAGGGAAACAGTGGCTTACAGTGACACTGTAGGGAAACAGTGGCTTACAGTGACACTGTAGGGAAACAGTGACTTACAGTGACACTGTAGGCAAACAGTTACTTACAGTGACACTCTAGGGAAACAGTGACTTACAGTGACACTGTAGGGAAACAGTGACTTACAGTGACACTGTAGGGAAACAGTGACTTACAGTGACACTGTAGGCAAACAGTGACTTACAGTGACACTGTAGGGAAACAGTGACTTACAGTGACACTGTAGGGAAACAGTGACTTACAGTGACACTGTAGGCAAACAGTGACTTACAGTGACACTGTAGGCAAACAGTGACTTACAGTGACACTGTAGGGAAACAGTGGCTTACAGTGACACTGTAGGGAAACAGTGACTTACAGTGACACTGTAGGCAAACAGTGACTTACAGTGACACTGTAGGGAAACAGTGACTTACAGTGACACTGTAGGGAAACAGTGACTTACAGTGACACTGTAGGGAAACAGTGACTTACAGTGACAATGTAGGGAAACAGTGGCTTACAGTGACACTGTAGGCAAACAGTGGCTTACAGTGACACTGTAGGGAAACAGTGACTTACAGTGACACTGTAGGGAAACAGCGGCTTACAGTGACACTGTAGGGAAACAGTGACTTACAGTGACACTGTAGGGAAACAGTGACTTACAGTGACAATGTAGGGAAACAGTGACTTACAGTGACACTGTAGGAAAACAGTGGCTTACAGTGACACTGTAGGGAAACAGTGACTTACAGTGACACTGTAGGGAAACAGTGACTTACAGTGACACTGTAGGGAAACAGTGGCTTACAGTGACACTGTAGGGAAACAGTGACTTACAGTGACACTGTAGGGAAACAGTGACTTACAGTGACACTGTAGGGAAACAGTGACTTACAGTGACACTGTAGGGAAACAGTGTCTTACAGTGACACTGTAGGGAAACAGTGACTTACAGTGACACTGTAGGGAAACAGTGACTTACAGTGACACTGTAGGCAAACAGTGACTTACAGTGACACTGTAGGGAAACAGTGACTTACAGTGACACTGTAGGGAAACAGTGACTTACAGTGACACTGTAGGCAAACAGTGACTTACAGTGACACTGTAGGGAAACAGTGACTTACAGTGACACTGTAGGGAAACAGTGACTTACAGTGACACTGTAGGGAAACAGTGACTTACAGTGACACTGTAGGGAAACAGTGACTTACAGTGACACTGTAGGCAAACAGTGACTTACAGTGACACTGTAGGCAAACAGTGACTTACAGTGACACTGTAGGGAAACAGTGACTTACAGTGACACTGTAGGGAAACAGTGACTTACAGTGACACTGTAGGGAAACAGTGACTTACAGTGACACTGTAGGGAAACAGTGACTTACAGTGACACTGTAGGGAAACAGTGACTTACAGTGACACTGTAGGGAAACAGTGACTTACAGTGACACTGTAGGCAAACAGTGACTTACAGTGACACTGTAGGGAAACAGTGACTTACAGTGACACTGTAGGGAAACAGTGACTTACAGTGACACTGTAGGGAAACAGTGACTTACAGTGACACTGTAGGGAAACAGTGACTTACAGTGACACTGTAGGGAAACAGTGACTTACAGTGACACTGTAGGGAAACAGTGACTTACAGTGACACTGTAGGGAAACAGTGACTTACAGTGACACTGTAGGCAAACAGTGACTTACAGTGACACTGTAGGGAAACAGTGACTTACAGTGACACTGTAGGGAAACAGTGACTTACAGTGACACTGTAGGGAAACAGTGACTTACAGTGACACTGTAGGCAAACAGTGACTTACAGTGACACTGTAGGCAAACAGTGACTTACAGTGACACTGTAGGGAAACAGTGACTTACAGTGACACTGTAGGGAAACAGTGACTTACAGTGACACTGTAGGCAAACAGTGACTTACAGTGACACTGTAGGCAAACAGTGACTTACAGTGACACTGTAGGGAAACAGTGACTTACAGTGACACTGTAGGGAAACAGTGACTTACAGTGACACTGTAGGCAAACAGTGACTTACAGTGACACTGTAGGGAAACAGTGACTTACAGTGACACTGTAGGGAAACAGTGACTTACAGTGACACTGTAGGGAAACAGTGACTTACAGTGACACTGTAGGGAAACAGTGACTTACAGTGACACTGTAGGGAAACAGTGACTTACAGTGACACTGTAGGGAAACAGTGGCTTACAGTGACACTGTAGGGAAACAGTGGCTTACAGTGACACTGTAGGGAAACAGTGACTTACAGTGACACTGTAGGGAAACAGTGACTTACAGTGACACTGTAGGGAAACAGTGACTTACAGTGACACTGTAGGGAAACAGTGACTTACAGTGACACTGTAGGGAAACAGTGACTTACAGTGACACTGTAGGGAAACAGTGACTTACAGTGACACTGTAGGGAAACAGTGACTTACAGTGACACTGTAGGGAAACAGTGACTTACAGTGACACTGTAGGGAAACAGTGACTTACAGTGACACTGTAGGGAAACAGTGACTTACAGTGACACTGTAGGGAAACAGTGACTTACAGTGACACTGTAGGGAAACAGTGACTTACAGTGACACTGTAGGGAAACAGTGACTTACAGTGACACTGTAGGGAAACAGTGACTTACAGTGACACTGTAGGGAAACAGTGACTTACAGTGACACTGTAGGGAAACAGTGACTTACAGTGACACTGTAGGGAAACAGTGACTTACAGTGACACTGTAGGGAAACAGTGACTTACAGTGACACTGTAGGGAAACAGTGACTTACAGTGACACTGTAGGGAAACAGTGACTTACAGTGACACTGTAGGGAAACAGTGACTTACAGTGACACTGTAGGGAAACAGTGACTTACAGTGACACTGTAGGGAAACAGTGACTTACAGTGACACTGTAGGGAAACAGTGACTTACAGTGACACTGTTAGGGAAACAGTGACTTACAGTGACACTGTAGGGAAACAGTGACTTACAGTGACACTGTTGGCACACAGTGTCTTACAGTGACACTGTAGGGAAACAGTGACTTACAGTGACACTGTAGGGAAACAGTGACTTACAGTGACACTGTAGGGAAACAGTGACTTACAGTGACACTGTAGGGAAACAGTGACTTACAGTGACACTGTAGGGAAACAGTGACTTACAGTGACAGTGTAGGGAAACAGTGACTTACAGTGACACTGTAGGGAAACAGTGACTTACAGTGACACTGTAGGGAAACAGTGACTTACAGTGACACTGTAGGGAAACAGTGACTTACAGTGACACTGTAGGGAAACAGTGACTTACAGTGACACTGTAGGGAAACAGTGACTTACAGTGACACTGTAGGGAAACAGTGACTTACAGTGACACTGTAGGGAAACAGTGACTTACAGTGACACTGTAGGGAAACAGTGACTTACAGTGACACTGTAGGGAAACAGTGACTTACAGTGACACTGTAGGGAAACAGTGACTTACAGTGACACTGTAGGGAAACAGTGACTTACAGTGACACTGTAGGGAAACAGTGACTTACAGTGACACTGTAGGGAAACAGTGACTTACAGTGACACTGTAGGGAAACAGTGACTTACAGTGACACTGTAGGGAAACAGTGACTTACAGTGACACTGTAGGGAAACAGTGACTTACAGTGACACTGTAGGGAAACAGTGACTTACAGTGACACTGTAGGGAAACAGTGACTTACAGTGACACTGTAGGGAAACAGTGACTTACAGTGACACTGTAGGGAAACAGTGACTTACAGTGACACTGTAGGGAAACAGTGACTTACAGTGACACTGTAGGGAAACAGTGACTTACAGTGACACTGTAGGGAAACAGTGACTTACAGTGACACTGTAGGGAAACAGTGACTTACAGTGACACTGTAGGCAAACAGTGACTTACAGTGACACTGTAGGGAAACAGTGACTTACAGTGACACTGTAGGGAAACAGTGACTTACAGTGACACTGTAGGGAAACAGTGACTTACAGTGACACTGTAGGGAAACAGTGACTTACAGTGACACTGTAGGGAAACAGTGACTTACAGTGACACTGTAGGGAAACAGTGACTTACAGTGACACTGTAGGGAAACAGTGACTTACAGTGACACTGTAGGCAAACAGTGACTTACAGTGACACTGTAGGCAAACAGTGACTTACAGTGACACTGTAGGCAAACAGTGACTTACAGTGACACTGTAGGGAAACAGTGAAACAGTGACACTGTAGGGAAACAGTGACTTACAGTGACACTGTAGGGAAACAGTGACTTACAGTGACACTGTAGGGAAACAGTGACTTACAGTGACACTGTAGGGAAACAGTGACTTACAGTGACACTGTAGGGAAACAGTGACTTACAGTGACACTGTAGGGAAACAGTGGCTTACAGTGACACTGTAGGGAAACAGTGACTTACAGTGACACTGTAGGGAAACAGTGACTTACAGTGACACTGTAGGGAAACAGTGACTTACAGTGACACTGTAGGGAAACAGTGACTTACAGTGACACTGTAGGGAAACAGTGACTTACAGTGACACTGTAGGGAAACAGTGACTTGTAGGGAAACAGTGACTTACAGTGACACTGTAGGGAAACAGTGACTTACAGTGACACTGGAGGACACTGAGGGAAACAGTGACTTACAGTGACACTGTAGGGAAACAGTGACTTACAGTGACACTGTAGGGAAACAGTGACTTACAGTGACACTGTAGGGAAACAGTGACTTACAGTGACACTGTAGGGAAACAGTGACTTACAGTGACACTGTAGGGAAACAGTGGCTTACAGTGACACTGTAGGGAAACAGTGACTTACAGTGACAATGTAGGGAAACAGTGACTTACAGTGACACTGTAGGGAAACAGTGACTTACAGTGACACTGTAGGGAAACAGTGACTTACAGTGACACTGTAGGGAAACAGTGACTTACAGTGACACTGTAGGGAAACAGTGACTTACAGTGACACTGTAGGGAAACAGTGACTTACAGTGACACTGTAGGGAAACAGTGACTTACAGTGACACTGTAGGCAAACAGTGACTTACAGTGACACTGTAGGCAAACAGTGACTTACAGTGACACTGTAGGGAAACAGTGACTTACAGTGACACTGTACAGTGACTTACAGTGACACTGTAGGGAAACAGTGACTTACAGTGACACTGTAGGGAAACAGTGACTTACAGTGACACTGTAGGGAAACAGTGACTTACAGTGACACTGTAGGGTGAACAGTGGGAAACAGTACACAGTGACACTGTAGGGAAACAGTGACTTACAGTGACACTGTAGGGAAACAGTGACTTACAGTGACACTGTAGGGAAACAGTGACTTACAGTGACACTGTAGGGAAACAGTGACTTACAGTGACACTGTAGGGAAACAGTGACTTACAGTGACACTGTAGGGAAACAGTGACTTACAGTGACACTGTAGGGAAACAGTGACTTACAGTGACACTGTAGGGAAACAGTGACTTACAGTGACACTGTAGGGAAACAGTGACTTACAGTGACACTGTAGGGAAACAGTGACTTACAGTGACACTGTAGGGAAACAGTGACTTACAGTGACACTGTAGGGAAACAGTGACTTACAGTGACACTGTAGGGAAACAGTGACTTACAGTGACACTGTAGGGAAACAGTGACTTACAGTGACACTGTAGGGAAACAGTGACTTACAGTGACACTGTAGGGAAACAGTGACTTACAGTGACACTGTAGGGAAACAGTGGCTTACAGTGACACTGTAGGGAAACAGTGACTTACAGTGACACTGTAGGGAAACAGTGACTTACAGTGACACTGTAGGGAAACAGTGACTTACAGTGACACTGTAGGGAAACAGTGACTTACAGTGACACTGTAGGGAAACAGTGACTTACAGTGACACTGTAGGGAAACAGTGACTTACAGTGACACTGTAGGGAAACAGTGACTTACAGTGACACTGTAGGGAAACAGTGACTTACAGTGACACTGTAGGGAAACAGTGGCTTACAGTGACACTGTAGGGAAACACAGTGACTGTAGGGAAACAGTGACTTACAGTGACACTGTAGGGAAACAGTGACTTACAGTGACACTGTAGGGAAACAGTGACTTACAGTGACACTGTAGGGAAACAGTGGCTTACAGTGACACTGTAGGGAAACAGTGGCTTACAGTGACACTGTAGGGAAACAGTGACTTACAGTGACACTGTAGGGAAACAGTGACTTACAGTGACACTGTAGGGAAACAGTGGCTTACAGTGACACTGTAGGGAAACAGTGACTTACAGTGACACTGTAGGGAAACAGTGACTTACAGTGACACTGTAGGGAAACAGTGACTTACAGTGACACTGTAGGGAAACAGTGACTTACAGTGACACTGTAGGGAAACAGTGACTTACAGTGACACTGTAGGGAAACAGTGACTTACAGTGACACTGTAGGGAAACAGTGACTTACAGTGACACTGTAGGGAAACAGTGACTTACAGTGACACTGTAGGGTGAAACAGTGGGGAAACTTACAGTGACACTGTAGGGAAACAGTGACTTACAGTGACACTGTAGGGAAACAGTGACTTACAGTGACACTGTAGGGAAACAGTGACTTACAGTGACACTGTAGGGAAACAGTGACTTACAGTGACACTGTAGGGAAACAGTGACTTACAGTGACACTGTAGGGAAACAGTGACTTACAGTGACACTGTAGGGAAACAGTGACTTACAGTGACACTGTAGGGAAACAGTGACTTACAGTGACACTGTAGGGAAACAGTGACTTACAGTGACACTGTAGGCAAACAGTGACTTACAGTGACACTGTAGGCAAACAGTGACTTACAGTGACACTGTAGGCAAACAGTGACTTACAGTGACACTGTAGGGAAACAGTGACTTACAGTGACACTGTAGGGAAACAGTGACTTACAGTGACACTGTATGGAAACAGTGGCTTACAGTGACACTGTAGGGAAACAGTGGCTTACAGTGACACTGTAGGGAAACAGTGACTTACAGTGACACTGTAGGGAAACAGTGACTTACAGTGACAGTGTAGGGAAACAGTGACTTACAGTGACACTGTAGGGAAACAGTGACTTACAGTGACACTGTAGGGAAACAGTGACTTACAGTGACACTGTAGGGAAACAGTGACTTACAGTGACACTGTAGGGACAATGTGGCTTACCGTGACACTGTAGGGAAACAGTGACTTACAGTGACACTGTAGGGACAATGTGGCTTACCGTGACACTGTAGGGAAACAGTGACTTACAGTGACACTGTAGGGAAACAGTGACTTACAGTGACAGTGTAGGGAAACAGTGACTTACAGTGACACTGTAGGGAAACAGTGACTTACAGTGACAGTGTAGGGAAACAGTGACTTACAGTGACAGTGTAGGGAAACAGTGACTTACAGTGACACTGTAGGGACAATGTGGCTTACCGTGACACTGTAGGGAAACAGTGACTTACAGTGACACTGTAGGGAAACAGTGACTTACAGTGACAGTGTAGGGAAACAGTGACTTACAGTGACACTGTAGGGAAACAGTGACTTACAGTGACAGTGTAGGGAAACAGTGACTTACAGTGACACTGTAGGGAAACAGTGACTTACAGTGACACTGTAGGGAAACAGTGACTTACAGTGACACTGTAGGGAAACAGTGACTTACAGTGACACTGTAGGGAAACAGTGACTTACAGTGACACTGTAGGCAAACAGTGGCTTACAGTGACACTGTAGGGAAACAGTGACTTACAGTGACACTGTAGGGAAACAGTGACTTACAGTGACACTGTAGGGAAACAGTGACTTACAGTGACACTGTAGGGAAACAGTGACTTACAGTGACACTGTAGGGAAACAGTGACTTACAGTGACACTGTAGGGAAACAGTGGCTTACAGTGACACTGTAGGGAAACAGTGACTTACAGTGACACTGTAGGGAAACAGTGACTTACAGTGACACTGTAGGCAAACAGTGACTTACAGTGACACTCTAGGGAAACAGTGACTTACAGTGACACTGTAGGGAAACAGTGGCTTACAGTGACACTGTAGGCAAACAGTGGCTTACAGTGACACTGTAGGCAAACAGTGGCTTACAGTGACACTGTAGGGAAACAATGACTTACAGTGACAGTTATCGTGAATCTAAAGGAAAGCTCTACCTAATACAGTCAAATCAAACTGCAGTTCAGGAAAGCAAGATTTCATGTTTTAGCAATTAAGCCCACCACTTTTTAAATAAATCAGTTGAAAGAGGAAATCTGCCAACAAGATTAACCTTATGAAAACAATCAAAGGGGCATAACTCTTAAAATGTGTGTGTGGGGGAGGATGTCACTTGAACAACAAATTTACAGGAATTGAACACAGCATTAAACTGTTCTTGCCTTTTCTACACAATGCTATGCCCCATTTATTTACATAAAATGGGCAATTTTTGCCAATAAAAGGGGCATAACTCTGTTAAAAATAATGGCAAAATTTTGTAATACTATGTTCAAACCACATAGGTATATGTAATATTTGTAGCAAGTTTTATCAAAATCCATATGTATATAAAGGTAAGTAACCACTACAAGGAAATGGTCACTGATGGATAGACAGCACAAGGTATACCTTAATACCACCCATTGTCATTTCGCATATGAAACTACGTATCAACATATTTACCTGCACCACTGAAGAGCGTATGGAATCATCCCTACTAGTCCAGAAAAATAGAAAGAATATCGTACAATTTCTGTAATTGTCCATGCAAAGATAAACATGAACACACCAACAGTTGTCTGTACCTGAAAAATACCCAAATTTAAATAAGAACCAAATTATTCATCCACCATCTATTCTTTTTAGATAAACAAATAATATTCTTAATATCTTAGATATTCTTTATTTCTTAAAGAATTACGGTCACATTTCATTGAGTGGGGTAAAACATTGATGTACAAGAAACATGATAGAATTCAGATAGATCAGTAATAATACATTATAGTGAAGTTTTTCCTTCCATTTGATAGCAATATCACAACCACAGTTGTTGTTCCTTAAATCTGCATTGCACACCAGGATATAGATATTTTATTAAAACTTCTATTTTAATCGTAAAACCTGTTATTTCACTGTGAAAAATGTAAGTAAGCTCATTTAATCATCCTGACAACTGATATCCAAACATAAAAACTTGTAAAAGTTACAAAACACTTAGATAATTCTTACCTGTGGAACACTATAGGCCACGCCCCAGGTAAGAAACACTCGTGAAAACACCTGGAATGCTGTCAGTACTACATTTGAACGCACAAGCCCGAAAGCACAGTGAAATATCTGCAAAATATACACTAGCTATAGATTATAGATTTTAGTCACAGAGCACTTTTATTGCAATTTTCTAAAGTTATTTTTTCACAGTGAACTCAGAAAAACTTACAGATGACATGTTGTGTTATTTTCCATTTAATTACAATACATTTTTAAGTTTATCAAAATGATGTAATTAAATTTTCATGAATACTTCCGTAAAAACCATGGAATTATGTGTTATTTAAACATAAGAGACCTCTAGAATAGCTGCTGTCTGGAAGATGTTGAGTAGTGGTGCCACATCCTGGTAAACACCTGTCACACTTTGGTTCGTCACCCAGTGATTACATATGGCCAGCATTATAGCGCTCCATCTAATCAAAGCAAGTAAAAAAGCAATGATACACATATCCTTCGTACAATATATACAATTTATTGAATGAACACACAGCTATTTGTTCAATGCATTTCTGAAATTCACCCTTCTCTAATGTACATTGCAGAAGGTATAGTGGGAATAGTGTCTGCTCAAGATCATAACCAGACTGACCTGTCCATTTCATGTACAATGGAAAAATTCCACTGGTTTTACTTTACTTTTGATTAAGAACCAACAATTTTTTGGTGGCTTCAGAAAACTAGTGATGGGAAATCAGTTAAAATCAATAATCAATTATTGCTTATAGTTGTGTAACCCATGTGTCCATATGTGGTATTTTAATAACAATGTAGCATAGATGCATACTCAGGTATCATATTGTAAATGTCCTTGTTACTGTTTTGTGAATGTGCATGTGACGTTACTAAGTATATGTACACGTGACATGTTGTTTACGTCTCATGTATTGTCCAGTAGAATGTGTGGTATGTGGCCGAACTAGTCCGACGTGAAATGGACTTCAACGTGAACGCAACTCAGCACTTCTAACACCTGCATTTGTACTGCATGCTAATTGCGTTCTCCACACCTGTTTACGTCACTTCCTTTGGTTTTCTTTCTATCTGTCTCTCTCTGTCCTGGCACTCTACTGCTGGACGTCAGCGCGAGCGGTCCAGCAAGATCATATATCATACACATATACTATACGTATCACTTCGTATGGTGCGGGGCCAGTGAAGCCTGGTAAGTTGACAATGCTGTGGAAGTTGATTGTATCCGGCGCGTTCGTGATTGGTGAGTGTTTGTTTCGAAAGAGGCTTGGAGTCTAAATGTTTGTCTTGTCTTTTCAAGTTTTTTTTTCCCTTCAGAAATAAATCATCGAACAAATTTGAAATCAGAGTGATTTGTATTTATATATATATACCCAACCACACCCCGGTGACAGTTGGATAGACTTTCGGATGTAATTAATTGATTACATAATGGGCTGACTATGTGTTCAATGTTCATTTAAAGTTATTGCATTTTCATTAAAGCAATATTTTCTTTTTTTTTGTAAATTTAATCTAAAATACATAATTTACCTAGACTTTGCATAAGAATGAATATCATTGGCAATTTGCATCACTATTACATATCATCTGAATTTTGTTTTTTCTGAAATACAAAAAATACTAACGTACTGATGAATTGATTATGAAAATTTACAATCAATTATCACATCAGCTGAGGTTAATCAATTAAATAGTAAATTTTATCTAACATCATCTCATCACTTATAGATGCTTTTCTACCTAATAGACTTCAGTGCTTTGTACTGTTTAATGCCATGTGGTCATTTAGAAGGCTCTGTTTTTCCTCTGGGCAAGGCAATGTACAGTGGTGTTTATTCAAGGGTTGGTTGCTTGAGATTTGGTCTGTTTATGTGGAACGTTGGATTCCACAATCTTAGTATACTGTTTCCAAAGTCACAAATTATTTATGGATCAGTGGTTCCTTTTCACGAAAACATCAGTATGTCTTGTACAGGTTGATTTCATTAATTCAGGAAAAAGGCATACAACATATAACAAAATACAGCAGTAAAATAACGAATACATCACAGACTTTGTTCACGGGGTCAATATGGTATGCTTGGTGCATTATTTTTGGACCCCTAAAGAATCATTTTTTGCCAGATATGCTATGTCAACAAATTGCCAACAAACAAATACATAAATGAATTCAAATGTATTCATACTATAAGATTCATTTAAAAACTGATTGATGAAGGATCAGAATTTTTCTAGAAAATATCCACAGATCTGACATCATATCTGCCCACCTGAAACGACCGACATGTGTTTTGGACATGTGGCTCCACTTTCTATTCTGATGACATTACATATTTATTGAGATGTTTAAGTTACCTTACAGTGACCCAGAAATATGCATGTACGTTGTTTTACAAAAAATCATCATTTAAATGGGAGCGACATTTTGATGAGAATAAATTCAAAATAAATTCATGATATGAATGTTGTGGATGTCCATGTTTATGTGTACACTTTTTCTAATAGGCTAGATGAAAGGTTTAACTGCTTGGTCACTTCTTTTTTATAATCAAAACTATTAAATACAGTTGATTTTCCCCTCTCCGCCTGTAACATGCTAGTTAATTCAAATCAGAAATGAGTCATTGAAGTGTTATTTCAAAAATTATCATTTTTCCAAATATAAGATGAACGTTTTAGGACTTTTGAATCCAAAAATTTGCATTGAAGGTGTGGCCAGTTATTCATGGTTGATTCTTATTTACGTGACAGATGGCAACAAAAATTGACATCCATGGATGTATTGATGGATTATTTCATCATATTTGGGGGGATGTTTGACATGTAAAAATGTGTGGTAGGAAAAATTACACCAATTCGCCAAAACAAATACACTAACAAATCTTATAGTGAAAGATTTCAATAACAAATTTTCATTCTTTGTGGAAACATAACATGACACAGCAACCAAAATTATTTGGATGTGAGGTCAAGCAGGTCAATGGTTCAAGTGATGCTGTTTGAAAAAATGTCTGAAATACGAAACAGACCGGAACGGATGTCAAGACGATACTAACTCTTTGCTAAAATGATTACAGTTACATATAGAATTCAGAAAAAAACATCATTTCATATGATTCACGAACAAAAAGTGTGGACAAAATTTGGTTGACTATAGTTCTACTTTTTTTACACTAATCTAGTGGTGAAAAATATCATGATGTAATTTGAATATCACAACTATAGCTGATTAAAGATGTGTTACAGACTCAATCAGCACGTGCTCATTTACCTAGTTAACTAGTAACCCACAAACTGATCAACCAGTTGGTAAGCTTATTTACAGTGGGGTCCATCGAAGACATAAAAAGATATATGGTCATTTCAGTTGATTTAGAGCGACTTGGTGCAGAAGAAGATTTTTTTAACATAGCACCATGGCCTCTCATACCAGGAACGGGCCTGCATGTTACCAAAAGTCATCCTTGAGGATGACAAGTAAAAGGTTACTATACTGGTGAATTTGGTCAGTCACGATAATTCTGTATCATCATAGTGGCACTGAGCCGTGACCCCTATATAGCTTTAGAAATAAATTAACAAACCCCAATATCTGAGTAACATTATAAGCCACCAAGTAAATCTTCGATAAACTATCATCTTGCTCTGACGCTTGCGGGGAGGACTTCGACTTGCCGGTGGACGCCATGTTCCCTCTGATAATGAAGATTGTAAATCCGAAGGCGAATGCCGGTAAATCATTTCCGGAAGCTATTTTTTTATATACCATAAGAAATAGTTTTCCTTAAAAATCTAAAATCATGTACATGTAATTGGTAATTGTCGAAAATATTGTTCTTTTGAACATGGACGAAACGAGTAGGACAATGTACAAAACAAGAACGAAACCATTGGACATACCAACGAGCGCCCTACACATCTAATTTCTTATCCCAACTGAAATTAGAAATACACTGAGGGATTTCAGCATCACTGACGGGTCCTAGAGGGACAAAACAGCTACGTGATGCAGTTTTGTGAATTGTTTGACTCTACTCTATCTAACGCTAACTTTGTATGTGTCTGTTGTATAATCTTCCAATCTGTTTCAGAAGTTGCAGTTGAAGAAGTTTCTGATTGTTTGATGGCCTTACATAGAAATAAATATTCTGTTCTCTTTATCATCAACACATATCCAATTGTAACCAGTAAATCCCACCTGTATACTTGTTGGTTTTTTTTTCGAAAAATATCGAAAAGATGAAGTATATTTCTCCCAGTGGACCATTTTTGGGGATTCCGGTCTGTTATGACAACAAACACACTAACAAGAGCAAATTATACATACACAACTTAACTTAGTCAATTCGTCCAACATTTGGGTATATACGAACTTTTTGGCACGTTCATCAAAATAACCTAATTAAACAACAACAAAAAGTCCGGAGAAGGGCAACAGGAAATATCCAGGGAGAGGTTACATGAAAAGTCCGGAGAAGGGCCACAGGATATATCCAGGGAGATGTTACAAGGAAAGTGCGGAGAAGGGCAACAGTTTATATCCAGGGAGAGGTTACATAAAAAGTCCGGAGAAGGGCCACAGTTTATATCCAGGGAGAGGTTACAAGGAAAGTCCGGAGAAGGGCAACAGTTTATATCCAGGGAGAGGCTACATGAAAAGTCCGGAGAAGGGCAACAGTTTATATCCAGGGAGAGGTTACATGAAAAGTCCGGAGAAGGGCCACAGTTTATATCCAGGGAGAGGTTACAAGGAAAGTCCGGAGAAGGGCAACAGTTTATATCCAGGGAGAGGTTACATGAAAAGTGCGGAGAAGGGCAACAGTTTATATCCAGGGAGAGGTTACATGAAAAGTCCGGAGAAGGGCAACAGTTTATATCCAGGGAGAGGTTACATGAAAAGTCCGGAGAAGGGCAACAGTTTATATCCAGGGAGAGGTTACATGAAAAGTGCGGAGAAGGGCAACAGTTTATATCCAGGGAGAGGTTACATGAAAAGTCCGGAGAAGGACCACAGTATATATCCAGGGAGAGGTTACATGAAAAGTCCGGAGAAGGACCACAGTATATATCCAGGGAGATGTTACATGAAAAGTCCGGAGAAGGACCACAGTATATATCCAGGGAGAGGTTACAAGGAAAGTCCGGAGAAGGGCAACAGTTTATATCCAGGGAGAGGTTACATGAAAAGTGCGGAGAAGGGCAACAGTTTATATCCAGGGAGAGGTTACATGAAAAGTCCGGAGAAGGGCAACAGTTTATATCCAGGGAGAGGTTACATGAAAAGTCCGGAGAAGGGCAACAGTTTATATCCAGGGAGAGGTTACATGAAAAGTGCGGAGAAGGGCAACAGTTTATATCCAGGGAGAGGTTACATGAAAAGTCCGGAGAAGGGCAACAGTTTATATCCAGGGAGAGGTTACATGAAAAGTGCGGAGAAGGGCAACAGTTTATATCCAGGGAGAGGTTACATGAAAAGTGCGGAGAAGGGCAACAGTTTATATCCAGGGAGAGGTTACATGAAAAGTCCGGAGAAGGACCACAGTATATATCCAGGGAGAGGTTACATGAAAAGTCCGGAGAAGGACCACAGTATATATCCAGGGAGATGTTACATGAAAAGTCCGGAGAAGGACCACAGTATATATCCAGGGAGAGGTTACATGAAAAGTCCGGAAAAGGACCACAGTATATATCCGGGAAGAGGCTACATGAAAAGTCCGGAGAAGGGTCACAGTATATATCCAGGAAGAGGCTACATGAAAAGTCCGGAAAAGGGCAACAAGAAATATCCAGGGAGATGTTACAAGGAAAGTCCGGAGAAGGGCAACAGGAAATATCCAGGGAGAGATTACATGAAAAGTCCGTAGAAGGGTAACGGTTTATATCCAGGAAGAGGTTACATGAAAAGTCCGGAGAAGGGCCACAGGATATATCCAGGGAGAGGTTACATGAAAAGTCCGGAAAAGGGCAACAGGAAATATCCAGGGAGATGTTACAAGGAAAGTCCGGAAAAGGACTACAGTATATATCCAGGAAGAGGCTACATGAAAAGTCCGGAGAAGGGCCACAGGATATATCCAGGGAGAGGTTACAAGGAAAGTCCGGAGAAGGGCCACAGTATATATCCAGGGAGAGGCTACAAGGAAAGTCCGGAGAAGGACTACAGGATATATTCAGGGAAAGGTCACAAGGAAAGCGCGGAGAAGGGCCACAGGATATATCAAGGTAGAGGCTACAAGGAAAGTCCGGAGAAAGGATACAGGGTATATCCAGGTATAGGTTACAAGGAAAGTCCGGAGAAGGGCCACATTATATCCAGGTATAGGTTACAAGGAAAGTCCGGAGAAGGGCCACATTATATCCAGGGAGAGGTTACAAGGAAAGTCCGGAAAAGGGATACATGGTATATCCAGGGAGAGGTTAATTGATACAACTCCAGATCTGTATCAGGTATTTTTGGAAAATACGACAAACAAGACCGCTGAAGCATGAAAATACACCCCTACTGTCTAAAAGAAAGAAGCACAATCATATATGTATATACTAATATTACAATACCGAGTATAAATATCACTGTTAGTGATATTTTGATGTAGATCATATTTGATTGTTAGTGATTTTGAGTATGGTTTGACCAAAATTGCGGAAATCAAGGACACGACAAACCCCTCTACATCAACCGCTCATTTCTATCTATCTACAGCGAAATCAGCATGGACAGCTTGTTCACCAAGCTGTATCATGAACGTGATGCTTTCAAATTTCCTTATTGTGAATTTTCCGTTTCTAGATAGCAAAATTTCTGCATCCCCAATCGATGGTGTTTGCATGTTTTAGTTGACTTAATATTCAAGGACCTGTTCCCGTTATCGCGATATTTGTGCAAATCGTGAGCTGTCGGACAAACTCATAAACAGCAGGGTTTGTGTTTGATGCTCGTTAGTTTGCCTGTATAGGTTGTCCTTGTTTGAGACACACAAGTTACTCACAAGGATTGACCAGTATTTACATGGCTGGGTGTCGTAGATGAAGCAGACTTGAAGAAACGTACTATTTCGGAAAATCTGGTCATATTCTTTTGGTACTTTTTCAGGATTGTTCGTGTAAATATTTCTTTTGTTCATATTTCGCCCTAGTTTTATTGACTTTGAGTTTGGATTATGATTATATTGTCAATAGAAATCATCATACATGCTGTTAGACATTTTTTTCCAAGTAGAATTGTTCGTTGTCAACCCACCAGTTGTAATCATATTTATTTATTTATAAATGTCAGTAATCGATGTCAAGTAATTATCCGGAACATTGTAAGCTTTCTCCGCCTGCGACTTTAAAGTTAAAACAGCGCGCACTTGCTCGACGACCCCAAACAGTGGTTCTCTAGATTTATGTCTCATGTTAAAGGTAAACGAACCTTATTCCGAAAACCATATGCCTGTGTTTGATCACGTGACTTTCCCCGGCGACGAGGTTGTTGAATAAATGTTGTTTCGGTTGCTCCTGTTACGTACATATTTAAATATAGTACATAATTCTACGACGATGGCTGACTAAAACAACAGATATCAAGGAGGACTTAACGAACTTGGAGGCTGTCCATTCTTCTTATAAGTGTTGGCTGACTCGGAATAAAACAGCAACATGAGCCACGTCCACGAAGGGTAAGCAGGATACATGCCATCATTTGGTGGCAGACATTTTATTTGACTCGACTTGTTGTGAGTGAGAGGAAGATAACTTTATCTTAATTAAAGCTGTGTCTAAGGCTTCTTGATAAACGTTTAAATATACAACTACACGTTTAAGATGTACATGAAATGTTTTGCGTATTTTCTGATCGTGTTTACCGTCTCATTTTGAGTATGGCAACAAAACTATTTTCTAATTTGCTTCAGGCTGCTGTCAATGGTTAAGGTGTACATATTCAGTATATACACAAATAGCTGTATTGTAAGGTTTCGTTTCAGACTGATAATTAATCAAAATTGATTAAAGTGATTTAGATTTGATATAGAAGGCAATTTTCAAAATAATGGTCATCTTGCCCACCATTCAGCTATATTTTGTAATTCATGCAATTTTAATCACTCTCGCACTGCTAATTTATACACTTTTCCCTACCCTGGAATAATAATTAAATAATATCTTGTTAATTAATAACCAACAAGAAGACTAAGTTGTTTATAAAGACGGAAGAAAAAATATTTCCAATGGCACTGTAAATTTTTTTGCTGAAAACAATACATGTGCATCTACACAGTTTTTATAACCAAAACGTTTGTTCTACAAAACTTTCACTCTGTGATAATTCCTGTTCTTAAATATCCATAGGCCATACAAAATTTTCAATGAGAGTTGAAACAAAAACTTTGCACAAAAAATCTTGGGAAATTCTCTTTTTTCAATCTCATTTTGAATAGCAAAATAAGATGATAGTATTTACACTGAATACTGTGTGAAAGAACAGGGAAAACACTCGTTCCTGTAGGGTGTCCTGACCAGGAATTAAACCAGTGTCTCTGGTGTGATAATTAGCCACCACTACAAACTGAGCCAAAGAAGTATATGCTATATCAGCTCAGAGACTGTATTTAGCACTATATACAAGCCATACCGACCCGCTCCTGTTACACCAATCCCTGTTTTTCTTGAGATTTCCTAAATCTCAACCAAAGACTCCAAGTACCACAGCTTTAGGGATTTTGTTGGGCGCCAGTGTTAAAGAACAGGGAAAGTAAACACTGACCTGCTCCATTTACAACTGCACGTACAAGAACAGATTTTCCAAAAGAATATATATATATACCCCAATATATAATTTATTTGAAAAGAACATGACTATTATATTCCTATGAAGGCTCTAAGCATGAAATATTAACTTCAGTCTTTTTTTTATTCAATCTATATATATGACATATCTATAAACCAGTTGTATTTTAAAAAGGTTACGCAAACATTTGATTGAGTAGAATCAATATCTATATATCTGTACCTCATAGGTCATGTTGACTTTAGCGTTAGGATTATATTGTCAGACTAACATACGTCTATGGTCCTGACATGTTGTACTTAACATGTTTGATCTTTCATATTTTCAACATTTCCCATACCCTATACATGTGTACAGGGTTAATTATGTTGGCAGTTTAAAGTATTATCACCTAAAACCTAAAATAAAAAGAATAAGATATTTTCATATGTATGATGTACATCAAAATGTTATACCAATGACTAATGTCAGAAGTAAGCTGTGTAGCTCCACCCCCTTCTTTTTTTTACATGTCTAAATTTTCAAATCTTTATTTTTTATATCATAAATAAATACCATAATTGAATTTATACAAATTAATATTTTGAACTTTGAGAGTAAATAATCTTTGTTATACTTATTGAGGGAAGTGGTATTACATAAGTCGGAGTTCATATCATGGATTACATTTATACCTGTTATGTAATTCAAGGTTCTGTTCTTGAATGTGAATTAGAATAAGTACAATTTTGGTTAAAAACAACCAAAGTGGATGTTTACCACTAAACATGAAGATGATATGAATTTGCTAAACCAACTATAGTTTTCAAAACAATTATATGTTAAAAAAATACCAGTGTGAATTTGTAGCATGTATATAATTTTGACACTGCCTATAAAAGTACTACAATTCATTGTCTCCTTGTGATAATATACCCGGACCTGGATAAAACAACATTACAGGTTTTCTTAAGATATTTAGTCATTATAATCACTTCAGATTGCTGTAGTTACCTAACGCAGCAATGCTGTCACTTAATTATCTAATTATCTTACGACCATATCAAATACTATCTGTCCTTGGTAGGGATTGAACCATGCACCCTCAGATCTTCACCTTATGTTGGTAAAGTCTGAAATTCTGCTGACTCATCGATTCCTGCTTTGATTATTCACTGAAAGCTTGAAGCAGAAAGGATACATTTTTCACAGAAGTTATGAAACAGACGATAAATCTCATTGTCAGGTTACAGTATATCTATATTCTATCATTTTTATGAAATGTTCAAAATGATGATTATTACATCTTTGATATCCCTTTGAATGTTGTTATAATTAGAATGTCTGCAAAATTTCATCAATAAAAATTAGATGGTTTTCCCAGTTTCACAAAAATTCAATGATTTTTTTTCCTAGTGTCATTGAAATCAAATCCTTATTTGCAGTTGATCATATTCTGTTTCCTTCGTTTAAGAAATGGAAACACATAGGTATTCATTTTTTGTCATAGACTATTAAGTTCTGATAAGTTTTGTTTATTAAATAATTAATTACCTACATCAGATAGTATATATAATTCCCAACTGCCTTGTTCTGACACCAGCCTTTTTGTATGTGTGTTGATAGTCTGGATTTAGGTGTCAGACAGTGCAGAATTCTATATCTTTAGACCTGTCACATATACTGTGCAGTAGTCTCTAACTTCTATCTCTAGGTAACTAATATCCTGTCATGTCTAGTGTCTACTTTCTCCTGTAATTATGTAACCTAGGAAAGTCACTGATATTCTGTCATGTCTAGGTGTCTACTTTTCCTCTGTATTTATGTAACCTTGGAAAGTCACTGATATTCTGTCATGTCTAGGTGTCTACTTTCTCCTGTATTTATGTAACCTTGGAAAGTCACTGATATCCTGTCATGTCTAGGTGTCTGCTTTCTCCTGCATTGATGTAACCTAGGAAAGTTACTGATATCTTGTCATGTCTAGGTGTCTACTTTTCCTCTGTATTTATGTAACCTAGGAAAGTCACTGATGTCCTGTCATGTCTAGGTGTCTACCTTCCTCTGTTTTGATGTAACCTAGGAAAGTCACTGATATCCTGTCATGTCTAGGTGTCTACTTTCTCCTGTATTGATGTGACCTTGGAAAGTCACTGATATCCTGTCATGTCTAGGTGTCTACTTTTCCTCTGTATTTATGTAACCTTGGAAAGTCACTGATATCCTGTCATGTCTAGGTGTCTACTTTCTCCTGACTTTTATGTAACCTTGGAAAGTCACTAATATCCTGTCATGTCTAGGTGTCTACTTTCTCCTGTGTTTATGTAACCTTGGAAAGTCACTGATATCCTGTCATGTCTTGGTATATTGTACATAGTTACTTTCACATGTATTGATTTTATTGATCTGTTTATGGTAAATATAGCTTTGTTTACCTGTATCTACCTGAACAGGTATGTAATCTACTTGTTCTATTAAGAATGCAGTGCACACCTTTAGCCTATAAATGAATTATTTTAAGTGGAAATCGACTTTATTTCAAGAAGCTTTTGAGAGATATTTTATGAATCTGACTGTTTGTCAATGTAGGTTTGTAGGTGTGGTATAAAAATGAGCAGGTGAAACAATAAGGCGTGGAAAATCCCTGGAATAAATTAGCAGTTGGTTGCTAGGTTTTTACACTTGATATTTTTAAAGATCAAAGGAAAATCTAAATGACGAGATTTATTGCATAAAAAAAATTACTAGAAGTGTATTTGTATGCTGGGTTTAACACATTGTGAACATCAAGTGTCATATTGAGGTGGGGTGTACTTGTCACAACGGTGGTGACTATCTTACTGAACAACATACAAGAGGCCCACCACATGTCATCCAAGGCAATAAGAGTCAAAGGTCATAACCATGACATCACAGACAGGTCCATTTCTCAGCTCTCTGACAGAGACAAACAGTCATGGTCGCAGAACATTAAACCATGTACCTCATATCGTCACATTCTGTCTACTGGTTTCCCCATTTACACTAGAACAGTTTCTATGACAGATTGTATAGGGATATGGAGATCTGGGGTTGGAATATTGAAGAGTAGTGACAATGCAATTTACTTCACTAGTGTTAAATAAGTCTTGGCTATGATATCATGACTGGTTTTGTTTAATTAACACCTGGTTGTGAATGTCTGTTTCCAATGGTTTCCATTATGTCACAGATTTCTAATGGGATTGTCATGACAAAAAGAAAATACAGGAAACCTATATAAACATGTATCATTTTGATACAGATGGTCTTTAAAGAGAGTATTTGTAATACAGGGGTGGCCTTTATATACAGGTATTGTTATAGTACAGATGACCTTTATAGACAGGTATTATTATAGTACAGATGACATTTTACATAGATATTGTTATAATACCGGTGGTCCTTATAGAGAGTATTTGTAATATAGAAATGACCTTTATAGACAGGTATAATAATGTATTAGTGGTCTTTAAGACAGGTTTGACTGCAATTGGGGTGGTAAGCGTACAGGTAAAGTTTCTTTTTTATGAATATTTGCAAAAATATTTATGATTTTGTAATACACATCTTTCACCTTCATTTCTATTTCATTTGAAATTGATATATCATGTCACGTTAAAAAACACATTTTATGAAATTACTTGTGAATACTGGGAAAGATTCTTAATGTATTAACAGGAAATGCTCACTGATGTGTAATGTCTTTAATACAAAAACTACAGTCATATTTGTTTTTATTTTTTATACATACTTTTAGACATGTCATTCAGCGATTTGTTTACATTTAATTTTAATCCAGACATCTTTTATTTCTCAATGGGGTACCTGTTCTGAGCAGGTAATTAAATATGTGATACCATCTCTCAAGCAGACCTGGTAACCCTAAACAACATAACACTCCTGTATAAAAACTATTTTCTTGTAATTTACTTTTACTTTTAAGAATAAAATAAATGTGGAATGAGATTTGGGTACTGACAAGAAACGCATAAACTTATATTTGATTGATGTGACATTGACATGCAAACCTTCTGTTTAATCAAGGAGAGATTGGTGGTGTACAATTTATACATGAATCAGTGTATAAGTTAACTGTCTGTAAAGTCTCTTGGAACCCCAATCAATTTGGAAAACTGACCACAAATTTCAGTACTGTTATTTGCTGAGTACACTGCCCCATTAAAAGTCAGGGTAATTTTGATGCGGGTTTCCGTTAGGTAGCTGGTAGCTACCTAACTGAACATTATAAGGGAGGCCCATCACATCACATTCAAAGCAATTGGGGTAAAGTGTCTTGCCAAAGGACACAATCATTTTGGCATGTCTGTTTCATAACTTTCTGAGAAATATAAACTGCCACAGGTGAAGAACATCAAAGTACATACTAAGGATCCTAACCAAAGGTGGCATAGGCCCACTCTGTACCAACTGAGTCTTGGCAGAATTTTCTAGTCTAAATTCATCAGAGCATACTAATAAATCAATTTTAGAATAAGTTTTGCATGAGAGAAATTTTGTTAAAACAAATTTCTACTATTTCAAACTTCACAAGTGAAGATATTGCTAAATATAGGTCTCTGTAATGTAGATATTGTTTATACCTGTGCCTCATTGGTGAAGAAATTGTTAAATATAGGTCTCTGTATAAAAACCCACCCACATCTATTCTGGCTTATTTCTATCACTAACGTACATAATGTTTAAAAGTCCTGTAATAGGCTCACACCTGAAGTCACATATCAGTGATGGTTTTGCCCCCTGAGCTTATCACAAGATAGATACAATATTGTTTACCATACAATTTATATTTACTTACATTGACAGTGTCATCAATGAAGCAGAAGACACTTACTCTTCTGGAACACCTGGTTTATTTTCCTTGTTTTTTTTTTTTTTCTTGCCTCTATGTAACATTTTCTTTTCTCATATTTTGCCAAGTTTTATTGAATTGGTGTTTGGTTTATGATTGTTAAATGTTGGTATTTATTTGTAGCAATCTATGAATAACAGAATATTGTTTTTTTTTTCTAACAGCCCGTTGGCCACCTACAACAGTCTGACAGACAAAAACCTTGCAGGATATTTCTCCAATGTCCGCATGCGACGCCACCTTCGGAAGTCTGGACTGGTAAGTCTTGTTAGTTTGTTATATAAGATGGAATAAAAACTTTCTGTTTGATAAACCACGAATTAAACTCTTTAGACGTTAATGCTCTCTGTGATGGTGACACAAAAATATAGGAATAATCTAAGTTAGATTAAAGTAAATAAACAATAATGTGTTTATATTGTACTTTTTGCCAGTAACACTTTTGTAGATTTACACCAATGAAAAGAGATAACACAAATCATCTTATAAGATTGACAAATCACAAAGCCCAGTACAAAAAAACAAAAAACCAGACATCTGAAGGGGTTGTTTACTAGTAAGGTGACATTCAATTCCATGGTAAACTTTCATTTCCATGAAAGTCAGCAAACAATGCGACACAAGTTCTCTCAAGTTACTCTTTTATGTAAATATAAAAATAAATTTACATTATTTTTAACCTGCAAGTATAGAGGACCATACAACAGGAAGAGTTAAAACTGTTTAATAGTTGACATGTTTCGGCATGCTAGGTATGCAGTACTCAGAACAGAGTAACATTTCAATATACACTTATTTCTCATCTCTACCTAGCAATTACACACATTATTTACAGATGACAGTTGTTATTGGGATGTTTACATGGGCTTGTTATCGGGATGTTTACAGGGGCTTGTTATCAGGATGTTTACAGGGGCTTGTTATCAAGATGTTTACATGGGCTTGCTATTGGGATGTTTACTGGGGCTTGTTATCGGGATGTTTACAGGGGCTTGTTATCAGAATGTTTACAGGTGCTTGTTATTGGAATGTTTACTGGGGCTTGTTATCGGGATGTTTACTGGGGCTTGTTATTGGAATGTTTACTGGGGCTTGTTATCGGGATGTTTACAGGGGCTTGTTATCGGGATGTTTACAGGTGCTTGTTATTGGAATGTTTACTGGGGCTTGTTATCAGAATGTTTACAGGTGCTTGTTATTGGAATGTTTACTGGGGCTTGTTATCGGGATGTTTACAGGGGCTTGTTATCAGAATGTTTACAGGTGCTTGTTATTGGGATGTTTACTGGGGCTTGTTATCAGGATGTTTACTGGGGCTTGTTATCAGGATGTTTATGAGGCCTTGTTATCAGGATGTTTACAGGGGCTTGTTATCAAGATGTTTACATGGGCTTGCTATCGGGATGTTTACAGGGGCTTGTTATCGGGATGTTTACTGGGGCTTGTTATCGGGATGTTTACTGGGGCTTGTTATCGGGATGTTTACTTGTTATCGGGATGTTTACAGGGGCTTGTTATCGGGATGTTTACAGGGGCTTGTTATCGGAATGTTTATAGGGGCTTGTTATTGGGATCTCTATGGGGGCTTGTGAATGGGATGTTTACCTAGGCTTATTATCATTGGGATGTTACCTAGGATTATCATTGGGATGTTAACTGGCTGATTATGGACCCATTCCCAAATTATATAATACATTCATCTCAGCATTATTCATGAAATTTGCTGAACATTTTCTTCTGAATGGGTTAAAAAGTCTCAAAGCAACGAAAATAAAAATGTTTGATACTTTTATGTAACTTTTTGAAAATCTCAAACGATTTGATTTTACAGATCAATTCTCGAGGTAAAATTATCTCTGAGAACCAGTACAGACTGAATATGGCTCGCAAAGAACACAAAAAACATGTCAAAGACCTTCTATCACAAGCCATTGTACACAAGACTCTTGACCTTGAGCGTACACGACAGGTGGAGATCAAACGCAAACTGGAGGAGATCGGAAAGATTGAATTGGTTCGCAGAGTTAGAGTATGTATCAATTTTAATCCTCTATTTTATTGAAGATTTATTTCAGATGGGTATTTTTAAAAAGAAGGATCAATACCTTTGTAGAAAAATCTTTGAATATTAGTGTCTAAAAGCAATCGGATTATCAAATTTCTATATACAGGAATAGGAATGCTAAATCAGTTGTCAGTACTTCAAGAAGACATCCTGTGATTGATGGCTTATTTTTGAAACGTTCTAATCGTTGCTATTTTAGAGGATGGAATTAAGGGACGAAAATTTGATAAATTATCATATTATTTGTTCTTTGAAAATATAATGAGTAGACAAGTTAAAGTGCATCTAGATCTCTGCTTCAAGCTCTTGATGAAACCATAAAAATTTGAACCACAAAAAATACCTTTAAAGTGTAAACACATTAATTTGCTTCTCAGTTTTGGATGTAAAACTGATCTATATATCTTTGAAGAAGTCATTGTGGTTATCAAGTTCTGCCAATAGGTATTTTACTGATATTTGGAAATATGGTTGAACTCTCCACAGAAAAATTGAATTATTAAACTGGAAAGGAATTTTTTAAATTCTTAAGTTGTAATACAATTCATCAATAGGTTGCTGAGTCTTCGGTAGGTTTTGCTGGGACAGGTAAAACTGTAAAATATATCAACTTTATATATATTACTGCTTTTTTGGATTGGTTGATAGGCATGCTACTTGTCTGTCCTGTTGTCTGTATGAGGAGGTTGGTTAACTTGTCTGTCCTGTGGTCTGTATGAGGAGGTTGGTTAACTTGTCTGTCCTGTTGTCTGTATGAGGAGGTTGGTTAACTTGTCTGTATGAGGAGGTTGGTTAACTTGTCTGTCCTGTTGTCTGTATGAGGAGGTTGGTTAACTTGTCTGTATGAGGAGGTTGATTAATTTGTCTGTCCTGTTGTCTGTATGAGAAGGTAGGCTTACTTGATTATCCTGTTGTCTTTATGAGGAGGTATGTTAACTTGTCTGTCCTGTTGTCTGTATGAGAAGGTAAGCTTACTTGTTTGTCCTGTTGCCAGTATGAGGAGGTTAATTAACTCATCTTTGTACAAAGAGATAAATTAATTTGTCTGTCCTGTTGTCTGTATGGGAAGGTAGGCGTACTTGTCTGTCCTGTTGTCTTTAAGAGGAGGTTTTTAACTTGTCTGTCCTGTTGTCTTTATGAGGAGGTATGTTAACTTGTCTGTCCTGTTGTCAGTATGGTAAGGTAGGCTTACTTGTCTGTCCTGTTATCTATATGAGGAGTTTGATTAACTTGTCTGTCCTGTTGTTTGTATGAGAAGGTAGGCTTACTTGTTTGTCCTGTTGCCAGTATGAGGAGGTTACTTAACTCATCATGTACAAAGAGGTAAATTAATTTGTCTGTCCTGTTGTCTGTATGGGAAGGTAGGCGTACTTGTCTGTCCTTTTGTCTTTAAGAGGAGGTTTTTAACTTGTCTGTCCTGTTGTCTGTATGAGAAGGTATGCTTACTTGTTTGTCCTGTTGCCAGTATGAGGAGGTTACTTAACTCATCATGTACAAAGAGGTAAATTAATTTGTCTGTCTTGTTGTCTGTATAAGGAGGTTAGTTAACTTGTCTGTCCTGTTGTCTGTATGAGAAGGTAGGCTTACTTGTCTCTCATCTTTATACAAAGAGGTAAATTAATTTGTCTGTCCTGTTGTCTGTATGAAGAGCACTTTAACATGGAATATATATACTGTGTTCTTGTTTCCTTAAGATGTTTTCCATATTAATGAGTTTTATAATTTCTGTAATGCTTTTGGTTTGCTCCTTGTATCTCAGGTGAAATAGATATCCTCAATTTATATCATTTTGAGTTATACATTCATAAATGAAGACTTTAAAAAACTATGTGATCCATGTTTCCTTTTTTTCGAAATTCTGTAAACAAAAGGAGATGTTTAAATTCAACAGTAATAGGACATATTTCCTCTTATTTATGGAAATTATGGAAATTCTTATACTGTTTAAGGAAACATATCCAGAAAAATGCAGGTATTTTGCATACAGATTTCAGGAAAATAATGCTTTTAAATATTTTTAAATTTGTTTTTACAATTTTGATAAAGATATTTTTCAGACATTATGTGGCACATTTCTTCACCATCTGTGAATTTACACAAACCATTCCGGTATAGCTAGTCTTTTGTTTGGCTGTTTTGATCTTCAGGATTATGGATAAAATACAAATTCGTTTTCGCAGCCACTGAATAATCCTAGAACATTTTCATTGAGTCTAGTTACATAGATTTCTCTAGATTTGTCAAAAAACTGTAAAACTTGTTATTTTCGAAGGCTTCTGTTTGTCGAGGACAGGGAACGAAGAAAAAAAAATAAATTGATGCCTTCAAAAGAAAACTTAAAGATAAATCCATTGTCTTTCTTATGACTATTTGGAAATAAACACATCGTTTTTATGCCATTGTACACCATTTTTCCTCCAAGCTCCTCTTCAAAATTTAGAACCATCGAAAATACTAACATTTACCATAATTATATTCACCGTGAAGTGGTGTTAATGGATTTTTGATGACAGTGGAGACTTGTAGATGTAGAGGGTAGAACTTTCATCTATCTATTATTTATAAGTACAGACACAATGACTCTATAGATATGGATCATCACTTCAGAAAGAGTATTAAAAACCTTTCAATATTAGAACATTGTACCAATCCCGGGATTGTATTGCATATGTTATCGGCTTTTACCTAGATCACTAGAGTTAACTCGGGTGTGGTTAGTCCTTCTATAACAGGAAAATATTGTATGGAATTATTGTCATGTTAACAATAAAATCAAGATGTATTTTTATGTATAGAAAGGTTTTAATGTCAGTGTTTATGATATATCTATTAATTAAACAGTTTCTGTCTAAAAACCATAAAGGATAATTTTATTTAGAACTGATGATTTTAATATGTAAAAGATATAAATGGTGTTTTGATATCTTAAAGATGAATTTAATACATTGTATTAAAAATTTATATGTAATTTTGATTTTTAAAAGTAATGATTTCAATCAAATTCTGTTTAATCATCAAAATAACCTATTTATATTTAAGAATGAGTGAGTTTATAATATAAATTTTAATTTTATAAAACAGGTCTTATTTGAAATTTATGAATGTAATGAAAAAAATCATTTTTACATGAATACAAGTTTAATTTTCTGAAACAAGACTTATAAATTCTTTCTATTTCTACTGAATTGATGGAGAATATTTCTCACTATATAACCACACACTTTGTACTTATGATGTCATAATAGCACAGAATACTGCCATATGCTTGTTATAGAAAGGAAATACAGCATAGCATATGTTATAAAACATGAAATATTAAGACAAAAAAAAAACCCATTAAAAATGTTCAAAATTTAAATAGATTTAAAATAAATTGCATGGTGTCATCGAGAATTGAATTGATGTCATTCACGGACAATATGAATGACATTTGGATATTAACTTATTAATCAGTAAAACAATTTTGTATTAGATGATAATTCCATTTTGAATAAAACACAATATTTATAAAAGGATTGTGACAATAAATTTGTGAAACATATCCAGTTTGAGTATCGCGATATTCCCACAACGATTGTGATGTCGATTGTGATCCGACGGTAAAACAAAATCAATAGTTTTAATTTCCTTAATGGTTGTTCTGTCAGCACCTGTGAGTCAATTAACTGATCATTGATTACACATATAGATATATATATACTCCCATAACAATTGTCTTAGCTCTCTGCCTGGCCAAGTGTGTTCATATTGTCAGCATTTATACCATATATAGTCTAAAAATTAGGCCTACCATTCCAACTGTATGGATTAAAAATATTGAAAAAGATTTAGACTTGGATTCTCAAAATTTAACAGCCCTTGTGTTGTAACTTAAATAAATAAATTTACATATATTTTTAGAAATGTCAGTTTTTTTATGTATCATAGGCTTGTAAGCCTGGAAGTCTATAATGTAATATTGAAGTATCCCCCAGTGTTAGACTAGTGAATTTTCTTACCCATACTTAGAAGTCTACATAAACTGCTGCCTACTGGTAAGGACTAGACCATCTGAGCTTGATGCTTGACATAGGTAAGGTAGGGTACCATCGTGTTTCACTGACGAGAAGAAAATCAATTCAGGATTAATAAAATACGACTGGGGCTGTTGAAGGTGGTTTTATTGTGTCTGTTTGGGAAGTGTCAGATATTCATGTGGAGTATAATAAAATCAACTTATTCACCTGATTTCACATTTGATGGTAGTATTATATTTTATAACCACACAATTCATGTTTATATCTGAGATAACCACGAAATACCTGTGTTACCTCCCTTGGCAACTTGGTCCCTGATAACTGATTTACATCTCTCAATAATTTAAGACCATACTGACCTATTAGTGGCCTTGGTTTTCATTGTGAATATTTTAATAATAAGAAAATACAAAACAGACCTATTTTTCATGCAGTGTCTAGATTTATAATTTTTGTCCTGACTTTTTACAGCAACAAATTTATGACACTTGACCCATATAATTTGAATAGTGGTTACAATATCTCTAAGGTTGTCATTTCTGACATCTTCACATCAGTCAGAGGAAACATTTTGAAAAATCACATATGTTCAATCATTTTCCATAGGCTGCGAATAAGAAATCCCAGTGTGCTGACATTTTACCTCTGTTGACCCCAAAAATGAGAAAGAGGCCAACACCATCTGTTGTGGAAGAGGTGGTTGATGAGTTTCAGAATGCCCTTACTTGTACACCAAAGCATGTGGTTAGTGACCACCGTCCACTGCTGTTACCATGGCAATGTCACCGCTCTCACATTGTTATGTGAATGGATTGATTTTGTGTACTTAATGCTTTTGTTTCTAACAATGGTTTGAGTGGAATATGATAAAGGCAATCAAATTTTGTGAAAATCTAATAAAATTATCTTTTTTAATGTAGGGATGGGAATGTGAAGTTTTTTTGTTTCTTTATGGTTATTTTCTGTGACAATATTCTACTTAAACCTTATAGATATAGAATTAACAATTATTAAACAAATGTAGACTTCAGATAATTTCTGTGGAAGTATTTGTACTTTCAGAAATGCATGGTTCAAATTGAAATCAATTATCCTTTGAAAATGTTGATAGATACTCATGACTATCTTTATTCTCAGTCAAAGTATGTGTAAGTGATACATCCATTAAAAAAGAAAATGAAGAAGAGGATAAATTAAATGTTTATTTCCCTGTGGAATACAATGCAGTATCATACCTGCATCCTCACCACTCAGACAAAACAACTTGTATTGCTTGGTTACCTGTATCTAAAGCCTAGCTGCCTCACCGACTACGTGGCTTGGTTTGTGTTCGATTGTATGGGATGTGCTATGAATAATGGATATTGCTTTTATCAGACCAATAAAAATCAGCCTTGTATTCCAATTAGGCATTCTGTCAACGATTCTGTCTGTACTTCTCTGTAAAAATAATAACTGTTTTCAATACAATGAAAAATCCCTTGTAAGCCAGAGTTAGATATATATAAGTAGTATGTACAATGTACTGTAGTTCAGTGGTGATATGACTATTCAAAAGAGATTATATAGCCCCAGATCGCTAATACATTTAATACAGGGTTTAATTCTTTGCTAATTCACAAGGCTTGGTGGCGTGTGAATGCAGTAAGTCTCATGCTAATATCTGTCAGACTTACATTTGGGTTTGATAAATTTGACTCCAAACACCTTTGGAGTCATCGGTAGAAATCATTACAGCCAAGCATCTGGGAATTTATGGAGAATATTTTGGTAGCGAGACACCTGGGAATTTATTGGGAATTCATCGGTAGCTGGACAACTGGGAATTTATGGGGAATTCAATGGTATCTAGACACCTGGGAATTTATTGGGAGTTCATCGGTATCTAGACACCTAATTTGAATGGGAATTCATCGGTGGAAACTGTTACAGTCAGATACCAGTGATTGTTCCGGGAATTTGATGGTAGAGAGTGCTATAGCCAAACACAAGGAAATTTATGGATAATTTATTGGTAAACTTGCAGGATGCATTGCATGCAGAATTTCATAAAGATCTGATCATTTTGAATAAATTATTGTTATTCCCATAGGAGATATATCTAAGTATAGGAACACACATTAAATGCAGTATTGACAAGTACTGCATAAGATAAAACTCACATAACATACATGTTACCAGGTATAATTATTATCATACGCCCAGTTTCTCCAAACTAAAGAAAAAAAGCCGGGAGTGCAGTAGATTTCAATACATGTAGCATTGTTATAAGGCTTCTGATTGGACGGACACAAATGCTATTTTAGGAATTTATTTAGTCTGATCATACTCCCTTTTCTCATTAAAATTATTTGATCTTTACATAATTCCAACACGTTTTTGTTTTTTTAACCCTGAAAACTTGTTTCCCATTTGGTCTTCCAAAATTCCCACACCTTTGGAGTTTTTTTACCCCTGAAAACTTGTTTCCCATTTGGTCTTCCAAAATTCCCACACCTTTGGGGTTTTTTCCCCTGAAAACTTGTTTCCAATTTGGTCTTCCAAAATTCCCACACCTTTGGGGTTTTTCCCCCTGAAAACTTGTTTCCCATTTGGTCTTCCAAAATTCCCACACCTTTGGAGTTTTTTTCCCCTGAAAACTTGCTTCCCTTTTGGTCTTCCCAAATATATTCTCTTCCTAAAATGATGACAAACTTCAATATGGTATCATTACGGCATGTACTGTTTGACATTTAATGTAATACCCTTGTTTACAGAGATCACTCACAAGATGGAATGAATACGTTATATATATATAGTTTTGTTTTGCTGTGACTTACACTTTACTGAATAACGAGGAGAGTTAGTCTTATTGTTTATATATTGTTTTTGTATTGGACTAATAACTAATCCCTGTTGTTGCCAGGCTTCACGTGGTCGCCGTGGTGATGAAGAAATTTTACCGTATCTGTCTCCAAGGACAGGTAGTAGGTCCTCCAGTGGCCGCAGACGACCAGTCAGTGCCCCTTACAAATATGAGGAAGTAAGTTTGGGACTATGGTCAGTATAGGACCAGTGGTCAGTGTCCTCTGTCAGGAATATATCATTAGACCTATCTACAGACAGAACCTCCTTTTAAGGTCATGTTGTCATTTAGGATTGACCTTTGTTTCTCCCTATCTTGTCTTTAAAATTGACTTTTGAATTTTGTCCATCCTGTCTTTAAAATCGATCTCTATTTCTATCCAATCCCATCTTTGAAACTGAAGCTTCTTTTCTCTCCATCCTATCTTTAAAATCTTTCTTTATTCTGTCAAACCCTGTCTTTAAAACTGACCTTTGTTTTCTGTCTGTCCTGTATTTTACTCTCTGTTTTACATGTACAGGTAATATTTCTTTGTATGTAAATATTTATTGACCATTTTCCAATTCAGCTGATAGTTTCAACTCGATATTGTCATTTTCATGAAAAAGTCTCACAGACATTCAAACTGAGTCAATGCTGCTGCAGAAAACAAGCTAACATAATTCAATTGGAATATTTCTTGACCTCTTGACCCTTTGTTTGAACCATTGACCTCGAATAATCCTTTTACATATGTATATACATGTATACTCCAGCAGTATAATTTCACTCTGAAGAGTTTCTTTAAAAGGTATAGAAAAGGATAAACCTTTCCATATTTCTTTTGAACTCTTTGATTTTCTCAACATTCTTTAGTCTGATGCAGTTTCTTTCATTGTCACTGCAAATTGAATTCAGTCAAGCATGACCAGCTTTGTAATGTTTCAGAAGTGATGTATGGCTTGTCAAAAATCTGATTCACCTAAAAGCTTGAAAAATTAACACTAAGTGAAGCATGGCTAATTTTCCATTTAGTTCATATGTTTGTTTGATGACTTGTTTTATAAATTAATTGTTGTGAATGAAAGAAGCATTTGGACAAATAACATATTTAACAACATATCTGCCTGTGATTTGAAGCTTCATGTCCTATAGTTAGAGATATATTTAACAAAAATAAACAAAATTTAATTTGTTGTGTGTAAAACAGGTATCTTATATATTTCAATACTCTTTAAAAAGGAATTTAATGATCAATTGGATGAAAAAAATATTGCATTTAACAATCTGTAATAATGATAAGAATTTGTGTAAAAATTTCTTTGAAAACCTTACATATAGAATATCTGAAGAGTCCATTTATGAATTTTTATCTCCTGTAAATATGACATCAAATTCATTTTCAATTTAAATTTCTTTCTGACTTACTTTCACTTATAGTCATTTTTATGTACCTACATGTGTATAAACATGAAATGCTGATTGTCTGCCCTTGTTTCCTAGGTGATATATGTAGATGAGAATGGACAACCTTTGACCCCAACCTCAGAAATGATAGAAGAAAGCCACTCCCCTACCCGTTCAAAGGGACAGGAAGAAATAGACACTAGACACTTGTATGCGGTAAGGATCCATGTTATATGTCCCTCCTCTATGTTATATATATCATGTCAGAGGACAATTTTAATGTTGTTAACAAAAAGAAGTATAAGATATATTCAACCCAATATTGGAAAAACTATTTTTATGGAGATTAACATTTTCTAGTGTAAATCTTTCAGTGATGTCAAAATATTCATGGATGTCTGGTTGTAAGAGTGTGTTAATGTTGAATTTTGTTAATAACCATCTTTTTATAAGTATATTTTCATGTACTGATATTTTTATTTGTAAATGTGTGAGTTATGGTTGACACTATTTGATGTCTTGTTATCCTATATACATGTTTCAGTATGAACATTAACCTGGCTTTTTTCATTATTATACAAACCCACTTACATACAGGAAATATGTCTAGCAGTCACTTTGTCCACTAGGTCCATGCGTCCATCTGTCTGTGTGTCCATGCATCCGTCCATCCGTGTGTTCATGTGTCTGTAATAATCTTGTATTCAAGATATCTCATTAACCTATGAACAGATTTAGTTCAATTTTTTTAATTCACACCAAAGCGTCACCCCACCAAGATCTAAACCTGATTACTCTTGGATGGTCATCACTTAAGGTTAAAGGTCAGAGACCACATTTTCAAATAAAAAGGTTCTCAGTAGATTTGTATAAGAATACAAATGTTTCATCACGTTGGAATTTTATTCCTAGTTGTAGTCTATATTAGGTTTTTGTTATGAGATACAATATCATTGGATGGTGTTATATAAAATATGAAAACATCCTTGGATACTTTACAGCTTGACTCCAGTGCCCTGAGGAAATATGCCGTTACATTATCAAAGATGGAACAAGGAGAAGGGCTTGTATCTCCCTACAGTATGAACCAAATACCAACCCCTCCCAGGAGTGCTCGCAGTAGCAAGGGAAATCACTCTGCTCGAGTCCGTGGTCCGAGGCCAAGGACAGCAGATGGTCGGCTGTCACAGAGAGAAACACCTGTGAAGAGATCTCCTACAATGGTGAGGATCATGAAGGGAATTCCAAATATTTATTTGTTTATGAGGGACAGATTTAAAAATTACAGTTAAATTAGTACAAGGCAAACCAGATAAGGTTTTGATTCATTAGCAGAAATCAAAGTTGTATTTAGTGGGACCAAAAAATGAGTTTATGAATTCTTAAGGAATCAAAAAACACATTCTATGGAATCTCCACATGATGGAGTTTTAGATGGGAAATTTACTTAGGTAATACTGAAAAATTTGTTGTGTAAAGATAAGACTTATGTCCTAAGGAAAAGCAATCAATGATATATGAAGGAATCTGACTTAACTGTATTTGTTTCGTTAAACATTTGATTGGTTCAATTAAGATGTGCGCTATTTATCGTCTGGTTGAGATCAGTCTGATACTGTTGTCCATAACATTGAATTGAATTTTCCATTGTTTGCCGTATGACTCACATCCAATGAGATTTGTTAGAATGTGTCACATGACTCACATCCAATGAGATTTGTTAGAATGTGTCACATGACTCACATCCTGTGAGATTTTTCAAAATGTGTCACATGTTTTTCACTTCATTCATATCCAATCAAATTTGTTTCTAATTTTTTTTTTTTGGTCACATGACTAAGTTTCATCCAATCAATCATTTACTAGTGTAATATCTGCATCTGATTCATGGGTTGTCATGATAACATAAAGAATTTCTTCAACTGATTGTGATATATAAGTGAAACAAATTCAAAACAGTAATCCACATTTCTTGTAAAATATAGATAAAAAATGATAATAACAGAACTTCATAAATTCCTGTTAATATGAAAATAAGATTTATATAAAATATGTACAACTCAAGTCTAAAAATACAATATCAGGTATCATTTCGCACTAGAAATCATATCTAGAAAACATTTCTATGACACATTTAAGAAGAAATTTCTAAATTTACTTTCTTCAGTTTTTAATTTCCTATTTCATTTCAATGTAGTTTTGACTTAGTGCTATATATAAGCCAAAAGTTAGGGAGTGCTGTAGAGTATATTTCACCAGATAAGGACTTGTAAGCACTGAAAGATAAACTATAAGTAGTAATTTTCACGGGTCAAAATTTTCCAGATTTGCATTTAAAATGGTCAAGTTATTTTTTAACGATCTAAAATTTTATAATCTAAATTTTACATGTGTGTCTCTCTTGTTCAGGGATTAAATTTTTTTCAATGATATTGATATACCAAGAAATAATGAAAATATCATTCCCGCAAAAGTATCCTTTCTGTGAAAATTTCATTCCTGTGAAAATATCCTTTCTGTGAAAATTTCATTCCTGTGAAAATTTTATTCCTGTGAAAATATCCTTTCTGTGAAAATTTCATTCCTGTGAAAATATCGTTCCTGTGAAAATTTCATTTCTGTGAAAATATCACCGAGCAGCGGTATGGCTCTCTCAATTCTCTAAGCTATCTTTGAATCTCTACCTCTATCTAAAAATTCAAATCTGTACTGACACTTTGGTACCCTTGTCTTACTAGGTGTCATGTTTTCCTTCTTTCTACATAAGACATAACAATGTGCACCTCGTTCCTTTGCTAGTGTGAGTACGATTACAGATTTATTTTGACGTGAAATTTTGACTTTCAGAAAAACTCAGAACCTGTTGAAGAGTCACACCCACCATCACAAATATCTGTTGTGGAAGTATGTCTTATCACATGTCTTAACGTGTCTTACCATTGTGTCTTAACATTGTGACTTACCATCATACACCCAAGTGTCTTTTAATTGTCTAAGTATTAGTACCATTTAATGTTTATCTCCCACACATCCATACTATTTAATTTCCAAATGTGAATTGACCAAGTCTATGAAAATGCTTTGCGAAAATCAATACTTTCTTCAAAATTTATATACATATATCATAGTGTTGTACATGACAAAAAATGTTGTGCAAAAACTTAACTATGATCTGTTGTTTAAACTACATTGATTAAGAAATATGCAAGCAATTTCTGTGACTTCTCCAAAACAATTGACAGAAATACACTTCATAAATGCATTTAATTTTTTCAAGGAATTCAAATTCTTTTTATCTGTCTTTGAAAAAAGAAAAAAAAAGAAAAAATGTTGAAACACTAATTAAAAACAGACCATTGTGTCTATACTTTTTAAATATGCAGCAAAGCTGTGTCACCAGTTACATTGCATATTTCATGTATTGTTGATGAGGATGCAGCGTTTTTTTTTTTTTTTTGGTTCAAAACTTCTGCCGATGTATATAGTTGGAGTGTGGGAGAAGTCTAATCAGTTACCACTGTGTAGTGTAGACAGAAAATGTCCATCTCTCAGGATATATATATATATATATTATGTTTACATCTTAGTGAACTTTAAAACCTGTAGTCTTGTGATTAGCTTTATCTGTCTACATTACACAGAGGTGATAGATTCTAGTAATCAATATGTTCTTGTGTGTTTTTTTTTTTTTTTGTAACAAGTTCTTACAAGTGATCCCATGAATTTATTTATGTTTTCATCAATGCGTACATTCATTGTGGTATTGTGTCATATCGATTATATTTACAGGTGTCTTTCTTGTTTCATCATTATAAATTTTAATTCCATAACTCTCCTTTGCTCTACAACAGGATACAGTGTTATGAAAGATTACTATAGTCATTTGGTAATCTGAGTTTTTTGATTTTCCATTTGTTTATCAGTTACCAAAATTTATAAAGGTGAGATATGTAATATGTATCCAATTAAATTATTTCTGTCTTTTATTTTTTTTATGTTATTTTGTGAATTAAACAGAATGCATTATGGTGTAAAACTATGAAATATTCAAGGGTAATTTATCTCGTTATTTAAACCTAAGACATTTTTGTGGATACCATATAACAGCTTATTTCTTCATCTGAAGTCTCATTTATTTCATTTTTGGGGTCTGTCTTTTATCTACCAAAATAAGGACAGATTCTGCCCAACAGTATATAGTATGTGGTTCCTTAGCCTGTCTAAGATTTCAAAGTGGTCAACTGTACAATCAGAGCAAGTCAAAACTATATCAAACTTTCTCAGTGGTTAAATCAGATGTGCTATGGAGTTGTGTCCCTTTGTGAATTTACATATAAAGTAGCAAAATTTTTTTTTTTCAAATAATTCCTGTTGATCCCCGAGTCAATTCATTTTGTAACACTGTGGGTTTTTGTTAGATGTTTGAAAACTAGTTTATTTTGTTGCCAGATAAGTGAGGTATTTTTATCTGCTTCCATATATGGAAATCTGTCATCAATTTATTTTGTGTTATAAGATATTTACACTATACAGAGACAAGCATGCTGTTTAGTTGGTTAATTGGTATATCAGTAAAAAAAAATAATGGTCAGAAATATATTATGTTCCATAATAGTAGAAAAAAATACATTATCATCTTTCTCATTTGAAATAAATATTTGAAAAAAATTGAAATTCAAAGAAATTAAAAACAAAAACAAATGAAAAAAAAAATCAAACTGACCAATATTTTCTTGTTTATAGTAAAATAAATTAATCTGTGACCTAATTCTTCCTTTCTAGTCACCCATTGTTTTGACCTTGACCCTAACTGCATGGAATGATATTCTTTACAGGTGCATATGTAGCTGATATGTGTATGGCCTTTTACCTGCAATAAGCTCACCCTAGGACAAAAACATGACTTCTGACTCTAAGTCAGAGGGTGGGCTTATTACAGGACTATGAAATAGCAAATTAACTGTAGTCATTTTGGAAATTCAATTGATTTAACAAAATTTAAATGCCTTATTTTTTTTTGCAAAAAAATCTGTATAAAGTTGAATTTTATCATTTTTAACTGGAAACGTTATTAATTATTAATCTCTATTTGAAATTTCTGGAAACAAATCTGGATCAACCCTTTTTTTTGTCTCATTATTACATTTAATGTTTTATATTGTAACTTCTGAGGCTTAACTCAGAAAGTTTACTGTCACGGACTGATGAACTGTAGTGTTATAAGTGTTGTGATGTTTCCTTATATAACGTTGTCACCTCCTGTGTTATATATATAAAACATATACAGTGATACACAAACCAACACTAATATTTTAATTGATTATTAAAGTTAAGGTATACTATTTTTTAAAAGAAATTTATATTTCTCTGTATTAATAATTTTCTTAGTATGTATTTAAGAATATCTGAACAAGTTTTAGTGCATATGGACTATCAAATCTATTGCTGCCTGAACATCATCATCATGTACCCAGACAAAATTTTTGAAAGATATTTCAGACAACTTTTTTCTTCCTTTGACTTACCGATGATGAACCATATTTCATTCTTTATGAACATTTGACATAAACACCTGATTTCATTACAGAATTAACTTTGCTATTTAAGCAATTCTTTTTGGATTTTTGATTCAATTTTTTTAATTATTATCATCAAATTTGAATGTCATGCTTTTGGCAAAATGGTAGTTAAAGATATTTTTGGGTTTATTTCCAGGGAGCTTTGATGTTGCATCGCCAGGAACCAGCTGTGATGCACCAAGGAGAAGTACAGACTCTATGTGAAATTACGATGAAATACCATGGACCAAATCTCACTTTGCCACGAGATCAATACGAACCCAAACAGGAAGTCTCTATTGACCAACAGCATTGTGGGGGAAATACACTTACTGTTTTCAAAGAGGGGCTAAAGGCAGGAGGTCAGTATACTGGATACTGTGAATTTGAACTTCTGTTGAAAGGAAAGTTAAGATTTTAGAATTATCAGTTGACTGATTGCCGTGGGTTCCTTAGTTATTAAAACATTTCAAAATTATGCATATATTTCATGTCTAGTACTTACTCAATATTTCATTTTTAAATATAATTGGTTAAGGACATTTATCATTGTGTATCTCTGGGTTTCAGATAAGTTTACATTTATATCCCGTCGTCACCGTGGTTACCCATTCAGTCTCTCAGTATATGTCGAGGGTCGTATGGATTTCCGAATCAGCCGCTGCTGTGAATACAAACACTTCAAGGGAGTCCGACTCGGTGGCAAGCTTGGACACTTCAGTCTGTTGGGAGTGGATGGAGCCACGCCTTGTTATCGGTAAGACAAATGATAAAGGTCCTCTTTCTCATTTGTGAAGATGGTATTTTATCATTTTTTTTTAAAGATCAATGAAGTAGTGTTTGATAGCATATGAATCTGGTTTGGCCAAGTTTATATAATTTTATATTTACATCTAATTAATCTTTTACCTGTATACAGGTGTGCTCTGAACACCCAGGCCACACCCAGGAGCCTCAAGCGCCCAGTTCCTGTCAAACAGCGATCAACCAAAGCTGAAGAGATCCGAGAGGAAGTTATTGTGCCGAAACCAATTTCAAAACGAAAGGACGAGAAAACTGACGGTAGGTAGTGATGTAAATAAAGACGTGTTTGTGAAGTTTTAACTGCAAAATAATATTATCTTCTGCTTCTATCAATAGCGTCGTTATTGATACAATTTTAACACTCTGTATTGTAGATTTCAAATTCTTTTTTTAACAAGAATGAGTGATTTATTGATATAGAATTTTTCTGTAACTACAAGCTTTTCAGATACTTTGATACTGAAATGGGGCTTTCCATTTTTCAATAAAACTATGGTTTCATTTCAGAAGCATTGTATGTTTGCGTACTTACAAAACTATGAAACAAGTCTAAAGACCCTTTTTGAAACTGTTGAAATTTATAAAATTCAAGGTTATCTGAAAGATGTTGGTCTATATCATAGATTATGACTTACCATTTAATATTTTTTGATAATATAACCTTTGTGTTTCATTGGTTGATGGCCCTAATGACTTTTAATGTGTATACAGGCTGTTAAGTTGTAATGTTAGTAATAATAACTTTACATTATGTCCTTCTATATAAAGACAGTAACATATTCTTGAGAGAAAATAGGACCCACAGCTGGTTCAGCTGTTACTTACAACATTGATTCCTTGTATGTGTTTTTAACCTAAATCAAACACTTAACATACAAAATGTGACGTATATCTGTAACCTAAACACAAATCAAAGGTACATTTATTTACTTTGTTTCTAAAGTAGCAAAAGATATAAACATTGTTCAGGTGATGAAGGTAAACATCTGTATAAGTATAGGTATGTGAATATGAATAATTTAGAGATGAAGATGAATAATAAGTTTAAGAGGTGAATGTGAACTATTTATAGATGATGTAGATCAACAATAAGTATAGGTGTGTGAGAGTGAGCTATTTACAGGTGATGTAGATCAACAATAAGTATAGGTGTGTGAGAGTGAACTATTTACAGGTGATGTAGATCAACAATAAGTATAGGTGTGTGAGAGAGAACTATTTACAGGTGATGTAGATCAACAATAAGTATAGGTGTGTGAGAGTGAACTATTTATAGATGTTGAAGATAAACAATAAGTATAGGTGTGTGAGAGTGAACTATTTATAGGTGATGTAGATCAACAATAAGTATAGGTGTGTGAGAGTGAACTATTTATAGATGATGTAGATCAACAATAAATATAGGTGTGTGAGAGTGAGCTATTTACAGATGATGTAGATCAACAATAAATATAGGTGTGTGAGAGAGGTGTGTGAGAGAATGTAGATCAACAATATTTGTGTGAGAGAGAACTATTTACAGATGATGTAGATCAACAATAAGTATAGAGTGTGTGAGAGTATAGGTGTGTGAGAGTGAACTATTTATAGGTGATGTAGATCAACAATAAGTATAGGTGTGTGAGAGTGGTGACTATTTATAGATGATGTATGTATAGGTGTGTGAGAGAAGAAAACTCGACAATAAGTATAGGTGTGTGAGAATGAACTATTTATAGATGATGTAGATCAACAATAAATATAGGTGTGTGAGAGTGAGCTATTTACAGATGATGTAGATCAACAATAAATATAGGTGTGTGAGAGAGAACTATTTATAGGTGATGTAGATCAACAATAAGTATAGGTGTGTGAGAGTGAACTATTTATAGATGATGTAGATCAACAATAAGTATAGGTGTGTGAGAGAGAACTCTTTACAGGTGATGAAGATAAACAATAAGTATAGGTGTGTGAGAGTAAACTATTTATAGATGATGTAGATAAACAATAAATATAGGTGTGTTAAAGTGTACTATTTATAGATGTTGAAGATAAACAATAAGTATAGGTGTGTCGGAGTTAGCTATTTACAGATGATGAAGATAAACAATAAGTATAGGTGTGTGAGAGTGAACTATTTATAGATGATGAAGATAAACAATAAATATAGGTGTGTGAGAGTGAACTATTTATAGGTGATGAAGATAAACAATAAATATAGGTGTGTGAGAGTGAACTATTTACAGGTGATGTAGATCAACAATAAGTATAGGTGTGTTAAAGTGTACTATTTATAGATGATGAAGATAAACAATAAGTATAGGTATGTCGGAGTGAGCTATTTATAGATAGTGAAGATAAACAATCAGTATAGTTGGAAAATAAAAATAAATCTATATAGTTGTGTGAATATGAACTGTTTACAGATGATGAAGATAAACAAAATCTGGAAATACATGTTGAAGGCGAGGAGGCAACTCCTCAAAAGGACACTATTTATGGTGATTTACACAAAAACAAGGAGAAAACCAAGGAGAAAATTGATGAAAAGAATGGTATTTAAACATAATGTTTGTTTGGTGTTAATGTTTGTAGGCCAGTTAGTGAGAATGTTGTTGTTGACACCAGGTGGCACTGTTGACATTTTGTATCACCAGAGGGCACCACTGTTTTATTGTTCAGTTTGTATGTATAGCAGGTTTTATCCAATTAAAGCTATTTTGATCTATCAAAAATTAAGATATATAGTTTTGTTGGGAGCAGTATTGAAATAATAGATTCAATGCTGAAAACTTTGCTGCAGTATAATTGTAACTGAAAAAAAACATTAAAAATTCAAACATATTATTATGACCACTCTTTGCTGAAGTCATTTCCAATAAATTCCATGAAAATGATATTTTGCCTTTTTTTATACTTTGTAAAGAAAAAACATGATGATGAATTAAAAAGCTGAGCACCTGTTATGTACATGTTTGCATGTTATCACACATTGGTGAAACTGTTTTGTATACCAGTATGTGTAATTTCCTTATCTGACTGACAATAAACCCAGGGCATCTACATAGGAATTATCGAGGGCTGCATGGGCTTATTGGTTACCATGCATGTGCTTATTTTTGTACCCAGTACTTTGTAGGAGGAACTCTGGTCGCTGAACGTCCTACATTCCGACTCTTGTGTATATCAACATAATGATCTGTCTTATATAAAACCCTGTAGTGCGATTATCCTTGAATCACTTGGGAATGATTTAAAATAGCATTCTAATATCTAATAGTATAATAAAAATATATGACATTTGGAGAAAAATATTATGCGGCAAAAAAAATAATGTTTTCAGTTTCTCAATTACCTCTATTTTTTTGCTACTGACCATAATTTTTTTTCAGGCTGAAACCAGAAACAGAAAATTTTTTTTTGCCATGTCATTGTTTATGTTGCAGCTAAGTTTAGTTATTGAGGAAGAAAGATCACGCTATGCTTGTTAAAGATATTAGTTTTATGATCATGTGGAAGAGAGTTAGAAATATGCTAGTCTACTACAATTAAGTTATCTTCCTATTGAACATTTGATTTTTAACAAGTTCTTATAAATATACATGTAATTGAATTTTATTGGAAACTACATGTATATTACTTGATGAAAATTTCTGGAAAATTTAAGATGAAGTATTTTTAGCACATTACGCTAGCTAGTCGTATGGCTGTGATATATTTACGTCAGGACTAAGAATAATTTATGTTTGTCACAATTGTTTCACCTTAGTGTTTACAAATGTAACCTGTTTTTACTAAATATACTTGTACACTGCAATTTATGTCAACGATTTCATTCACATGTTACACTGTAATTTGGAAAAAATTTGTGTGTAATTAGTATTCGAAATTCAATGAAATATGTTATCCTTTTAGTATTTTAAGATTTATTTGGATCTCTAATCATTGTTTAGAAAATTCTCACTTAGTTATGTTTTTGTACATTTTACTTGTTGCTGGTGTATGCTACCTGCTGAAAATAAAGCACCTCTAAACATTTTCAATTTTACAGTATCTTCTAATATCTGATTATCAGTTTTATCGAAAATCGGTCTAATTCACTCAACTGAACTACCTAGGTACAAATGTAGGTTAATGTCATTGTATGATGTTGTAAGTAAGAAATTTGGGAATTGTAAACAAAGAACTGTGTTTTGTACAATGTAAATGATGTGGCTGCTTCTAAAAAAAAAAAAACTCCCACAATATTTTATAAATCAATGGTATAATTTTTTCAATGATTGCAACTTAAAATTTGAACTCTTATGATATTTTCGCTCTTTTTTTTTATCAGAATCCGAGGGGTATGATGATGATTTTGAAGAAGACGAAGGCGAAAAGAAAGCAACTGAAGGTAAGTCAATTTTAAATAGATGTGAACTTTGAACTTTGACCTATGGAATTTTTAGGTAATTTGTTATTGGTTGGTCAATTACAGAACATACACATGGATTTTGAAGTAGAAATGTGACAGAATTATGTGAGTGTGTTTAGTATGTTGTACTGAAACAAGAATGGAAGATTGAAGATGAGAATGAGATGAAGAAAATGATGGGAGGTGGGGACGGCTGTGATGGGGAATATCGATTATATCAATTTGGAGTCTGTATGGATATATGTACGGTGATGGTAAGGGTTGATGATCAAGGTCTTTTTCTTCCTTTTTTTTTTGTTTTTTTTTTTAAGAAATAAACAAAAAAATCTAATTAATAACAGAGTGATTTTTTATTTTCTGTAAAACTTTAGCTAAAAACAATATTATACTATTTATCTATTTCAGAGTGACAAACTGGTTGTATGGTTTTCATATAAGATCATAAATATTTTTACTAGTTCAAAAGCAAAATGCACATTATTTTTTGGCCTGTACATTATGTAGAGCATTAATTGCCTTGGGCTCTCTGTCCTGTGTGAAATGATTACATTTCCTTATTTAGAAAATTCTATTATAATACTATTGATTCATTATGATGATAAGGAGGCCATGTGATTTTTTTTTATCTGATTTATCTTAAACTCAATTTTTCAAAATCATTTTATTGATTGTTCATTATTTAGTTTTGGAAAAATATCTGAAAAGTTAAAGAAAACAATGAGATTTTTCTACTCATTTCACTAGGGAACGTTTTTTATATATATATACTACATGTACATTTGTATTATATATTATAGAGATGTATTTAGCTTATGTTAACATGGCAATGTTTTATTATAGTTTTGCTCCTTAAAAACAGAGTTTTCGTCACCGCAATATGCAGTCTGTTTGTCTTTTTTTTTCCGGGGAAATCTTTGAATCAACCTTAAACAAAATCCACTGGTATATCTTCAACATTACTGTCCATTTTGTCAAAACCCATGGCTTCAATAATACAGGAAAAAAGATACAAAAAATGATACAGTTTTTTGTTTTGTGAAATTATGACCAAAATTTTGACATGCGTCATTTTGTTGTAAATATGTTACGAGTACAAAAAGACTTTTCCGACGATTTTAATCACTGTCATCACTTTTCATCTCCGGAATCATTCATGTTGTCATTACATGTTCGACAGGAAAAGCTAAAGGAGAGGAAACTCCAGGAAAATTGGGTGATTAATCCATTGTCTAATTTGATCCATATCAACCTTGTATGTTGTGTGATATATATTTATATACATACACTGTATCAGTGGAATATCATTATGGTCCAGGAGAACCCTTATATCGGTACGAAGTCAGAATAAAAATATGACAACTGTTTAAATAATTGAACTGATAAACTATATAATAAGCAGAAAGCGTTATATAAAAAATGAAGTTTCTCACTGACTTTATGATAGGAGTATACGGTCGGGTGGATTTGCTGCATGATTGAACAAATTTTTTTAGATGGTACTACATGTAGTTTAAAAAAAACAGGAAATACTTTTAAAATTATAAAAAAAAATATAGATTTTTAAAGATTTAATCAAATATAACCATTGTGCTCCATATATCTGTCTATTGATCTCGGAGATAACATGCATGCTGCCTAATTGATAGATATAAGTCATAATTCATGCTGAACGCCCCAGTTTTAATGAAATTTCAACAATTTAAGGTAATTTTTAAAAATCTTTTGAAACACGTCACCAGAGTGACAAACCTTTGCTGCAATAATTACTTCCATTAGAAAGTTGTAGTTTCAGAAATTTATTCTGTACATCCAATATATTTAAATTTTCTTTTTTTAACTGCAACTACAATTATTGATGTGTAGAAAATTTGCCTTTAGATTCTCTAGATGGTAGATAATAATTTGTTCACTTTGATTAATAAATATATATTTGCTTTGAGTGTGAGTGTGGTTTGTGAGAATGCCACATCCCAGTATTGCAGACTGGGGTTTAAAGAAACCTTTCGGCAAATGCAATAGTTGTGTCACTTTATAGCCTGTTCTAGAAAAGCATTTTTTTTCCAAATTTTGATATAGTCTGTTTTAGAAAAGTTGCCTTTTAAATTTTAATATAGTCTGTTCTAGGAAAGCTTTTTTTTTCCAAATTTTGATATAGTCTGTTTTAGAAAAGTTGCCTTTTAAATTTTCATCTTCTGTAGGTTTTTTAGCATAAGCTTAATTGTATGAAATATCTATAATTATTGTTTTAGAAAGCACTGTTGATCATCACACTTGAATAGCTCACAGGATCATTTTATACAAATCATGTTGCATGTTGATATTGTGATGTCAAAGTGCCTTGCTTTAAACTATATGTGGCCTTGTGATTGAAAGTCTGCCTAAACACCTTATGCACTTAGGTAGAAAACATGAATTTTTCTTGAGTTCTGATTTACAAGATTAGTGATTAAGTGACAACTATTTTTTCTGTGAAAGAAAAACTAGTAATTGGAGTTTAAATTTATCTGTGTTTAGATTAAATCTATTTATTGTCGGATGTAAAACTAAATTTTTAAAAGTGAAAATACCATCCAGGAACTTAGATTAATAGTACCAGAATCTTTAACTGTGTTGAAAAACACATTTCCTTCCTATGACTTGATATTCATACTTACCTCCCTTGACCATAATGGTAGTCCAAAGCATGCTTGATGTCGATTCACTGTTATCCATGTTTTACCAGTGTAGCACACAAGTTTAAATATCTGTTATAAAATTATTAAAAAGTTATCACTATTTTTAAAGTTCCGGCCATGTTTTCATATTAATTTCTTTTCATAAAAAAAAAGAAGAAAAAATTTTCAAGAAATTTTAAGACAGGTATTGACAGATACAATTTGTTTGCTTCACTGACCAACCTTATTGTAATTAATGACCACTTTGTTTACTTTAACCGTTACTTTTGTTAATTTTTTTCAGTTAATTAAATGTAAACATTTTACAAATTACAAGTAGACTGAATTCATTAAGAGAGCTATTTATGACCATGATAATGCTGTGTATTGTCAATGGTTCTGATTCTGTTTATTGACAAATTATTTCTTCTTGTTACCTGGGGAAGCCAAATCTTAATTTTTTTTCTTTGAAATGAGAAATAAACATTAGAAAACAAGACAAGCAAACATTGTATCCACACTATTTTTTAATTTTTTTAGTCGTTTCGTTTGAATATATTTCATTTTTATTTATACATCTGTTACTGATATTGATTTTTCTCAACAAATACTGGTATCTAAAGATTTGAAAATTTGCGAAATACAGTAAACAATGAATGTTATACCTGGGTGTTATAATGCTGTTAATAAAACTATTTTGTTGAACTGTACACCAAATGTTACATCTTTCATGTAAATACTTTAAATTGTACAATTGAACAGCTTGTTAATTTCACAATTTTTTCATATTTGAATGCTGCTATAGTTATTTGATCATTTTCTTTGTACTTGTGATAAGAATATTTTTGTCAATTTCATCATTCTTTGGAATATTTTTGTTGAAGCCAAAAATTCACTTTGTTATTTGAGCTCACTGTCACTCTACCCTACAATTTGATTGTGAATTATCCCCCTTTGTTGTGATTTCCTGTAAGTTTTGTTTTCTTCACTGCTGGACTACTACTACTATCACATGGATTAACTGGGATAACACCACATGACTTGCATGTGACCATGTCACATGATTGATTGCTGCTAATGTCACCATCCTTGTCACCTGACTGTCATGTGATCAAGTTTCACCTTTCACCTGACCTCATGACCTTGCATATCTTGAAGTGACCCAAGATCTCGACAGGTCAGTTTAGGCTACTATCAATTAAATGAGTCTCTTAAATTAAATAAATCAAATTAATTTGATACCAATTTTATATTGATGTTACTCTTTTACTATTTTTTTTTCACACAAAATATCAAGATAATAACATAAATTTTTCTATTCCATTTTTTTTTATTTGTAAATTGATTAGAAGGTTAAATTATTATTTGCTTTACATTGGTTAGAAAAAAAAATTGATAAATTTTTTAAAATACATTTTGCATTGGAACTAAATTCTGTTTCCTCTGTCTTTGTAGATTTTGGACAAAAATGCAAGTCACATGGGTCAGAGGGTGAAGGTCATAGGGACAATCAAGGTCATGGTCATGGTCAGGCAGCCAGTCAAAATAGGACAGTAAAAACAGACAGACATGTTAGATTTGACACCACAGGAACTACACATTCAAACAAACCTGTACTTAATAAACCTGAGACAAGGAAATCAGAATTTGCTCTGGCACAGAAATTAGTAGAAGGGGGCAACGGAGCAGAAGAATTGTTAACAAAATTCCTTGAGGACGTAGCTTTGGATACCTGTGATGAAGTTTCAGAAATAGAAACTGATGTGGACTCACCACGTAAACAAGAATCACCAAGAGTCTGTAAAAATACGAAACTTAAGGATTTAAAGAATTCAGACTCCGGCAAGTTTCTTCAGATAAGCGTAGAAAAGGATGACTTTGACGACATTTATCAGGATGATGTTTTTCAAAAAGATGGCCATCTTGATCGCCGCGGAAGTCTTCCCGACATCAAAGAGGAATCAGAAAACAATTATTCAGATGATTTCAATAATTCAGAAAGTGACGAAATTAACAAAACTAAAGACGCACAGGAAAGGAGAGAAACGGGGTCAGTAGATTCCTACCAGGCAGTGCAAGATAGTGGTAGTGTACAGGACACTGAATCTGTAAGGTCAGATGTCAAGGTCAGAGAATCAAATATTAAAGTTGAAAGGTCAGAGGAGTGCATAACAACACAGGCTAGCTCTGATCAAACAGAACATTATTTTGATGGAATAGTAAGGCTAACTGGAGATGGACGTAAGTATGAAAAAATGTCACCTGCATGCAATAAACAGTTTGAAAATATTGGTCCAACACTGCATGAAAGTCCAGAGCACAGTGCTGTAGGTATTTTGACAGATGATGAAAAGTTGCGAGCATCCAAATTCAACAAGACTCAGTCTTTTCAAAATCTTCCAAGTCAGTTTGCATCTGCTGATAAAGCGAATGACAGGGAAAGCAGTACTATTCCAACAGATCAATTTGAATTCTCAGAAAGTGAGGGTGAGGTATCTGTAAGTCGTAGAGTCCCACTTAGTGTGACATTTCATGATATGGCAATAAGTGGCCCACTACCAGCCTTACTGGCAAAGGCAAGAAAAAAGAAACTTCGTAGCAAGAGGGAAAGAGAAGGAGATATCGAGAAAGATCGAAGGATGTTCTTTTCAGAAAGTGACAATGAATCACTGCAACAGAAACAGACAGATGAGAAATCTGAAAACAAGACAGCTGGACAGACAAAAGAAATCGCAAAGGATAATCAAAGGATGGTCAGAAAAAAGGTTCATAAAACAGAAAATTCAAAGATGAAAACACCGAAGGTAAAAAATCAGCATCCTGTCAAAATTGGGTCTCCAGAGGACTTGGAAAGGCGGTGGCAGGAATTTAGAAAGGCAAAGAGGAAGAAAAATAAAGTGAAAGAACTGGCACCAATTAGGACAGGGAAAATGGACCTCCTTAAATCTGTCATAGCTGATGAGGCATTCGAATTAGAGGAGGATTCAAATACCAGATCTCAAACTGAGGCTGAAGTCTGCTCAAAGGAGGGGAAAGTGAAATCGGATGAAGCAGGGAAAGTTGATGAAGGAAATGATAATATAGATACAGAAGTTCTGGGAGGAAAAGAGAAAACTGCAAGTGAAATCAACCAAGAGGTTACCGTTAAAGACAAGTTGGACGTAGAAAAAATCAGTGGAATAGATAAAGAGAAGGTAGTGCCATCAGACCTAAAGGGAGCAGCTGGTGATCAGAGACTGGTAGAAGAGGACCAAGAAAAAGCAGCTGTAGTTGGTCACAAGGAAAACAAGGAGACAAAGAATAGCTCAGTGTTGAATGATGCGAAGGAAACTGGGCAAAGCAAAGAATTCACTGTATCTCCAAGGTCAAAATGTAAAGACAAACAACGACTGGAGTTGACAAAAACAGCGGAGGACATCGATGGATCTGCAGATGAAGGATCAGTAGAAGATATAGATATCAGTGGGGAAGTTTCACAGAAAAACCAAGATGAAGACAGGATTGCTGGAGGAGAGGAAAGTAATGACAAACAGTTGGATCAGGAATCAGAGCACAAGGATGAAACTGGCTTTATGGAGGACGAAAAACCACCAATCAAAGGAGGCTGGGCAACAGGAAATGACAAAGAAACTAAAAAATCAAATCCTGGAGAGGATCTCAACACTGGAATCAAGAACCCCAGGCAGGTTGACTTTGTTTATCCAAAGTATCGCAAACAATGGGCAGTGGAACAACTGACTGATGATGAAAAACAGGCAGTCAGTATGGAAACAATCAATTTACCAGAACTCAATGCTACAGATAAAATGGAAATTGAAGATAAAACACCTCGAAATGACACGGAAAACAAAGATCCTAAACTTCCATGTATTGGAAAAGACACAGAAGTGAAATCACGACCAGAACCAAAGGAACTTGTAGGTGTGGATGACAAGATTGCAGCAGAGCTTGATAAGCTTCTTGGTAAGAAATTCGTGGAAGAACAACCTACCACAAAGGAAGATGTAGCTGTAGTAGGTCAAATCACAGAGGCAACAGTCGACTTTGATATAGCGAGAGACAACATACAGGAAAAGTCAAAACAAGAGACAGAACTGAAAAGACTGGCTGATATAGAAAACCAAATGGCATTGGAATTAGAGAAACTGAAAACAGCGGATGGAACACATGCGAAACAAGAAGCCAAGAATGATGTTACTCCTGTTGCAGTTGATGTCAATAAGGAAGTAGCACAAGAAAAATATGAGGATGTACCCCCTGAATTTAAATACAAATCTTATATAGACATTTGGAAGGAAAAAATAGCATATAAAGAAAATACAGAGGATGTTGGAAAAGGGGTCGAGGGCTTGGATGAAACAGCAAAAGATAACACGTCCACAAGAGGCCTTGGAGAAAGTAATGATGTGCCTCCTGAATTCAAATACAAATCTTATGTAGAGGTGTGGAAAGAGACTGTGGCAAAGAAACACTCATTAGACCAAGGGGAGATCACTCAAAGATCAGATCAGGTTTCGGGTGATGACACTTCAATGCAGTTAGTTGGCAATGGATCAGAAGATAGTGGATTCGCCACTGAGCAAAAAAGAGTGGACCAGCAGAACCTAGCAGAATCTGAAGGCCAGTCTCATAGACAAGGCCATCCAGAAACTAATGATTTGGTGTTAGAATTGAAATTAGATTTAAATTCAATGGAAGCTAATGAATGTGGAGAAACGAATGCATTAGTGATCGAGGAAACAGGAGAGAAATTCAACATAGCCGAGGTAAGCCATCATCAGCAGAGTGATCAAGAAACAGCAAATGTTATCAAGGGTCGCACTGACAGACTCAGAGAGAGGCTACCTACAGATTCGTCAGATTCAGAAGAGGAAGTCATGCACACACTTGCTGTTGTTCATGAGTCAACAGGAGAATCAGACGGGGCGATTGAGACAAATATTGGGTCTGGCATCATACTTCACAAAGTTCCAGAAACATCTGGCCAGGATCAAGGTCTAGAGGCCCAAGGTTTAGAAGGTCAGAGGTCAAACCAGGATGAAGCAATGGGTTTAGAAGGTCAGAGGTCAAACCAGGATGAAGCAATGGGTATGCAAGAGTGGGAGGAAGAGATAGATAATTTGATAGATGATCTTATTGATGGAGATGAAAACAAAGAAGAGGTCGGGGATGAAAAAGAAGATGGTTACAAAACTGACGAGATGAAAACAACGGAAACAAACAACAAAGATTATGATCAGTTGTTTGAGGAAATACTCAAGTTTGAATCTACAGATTCTCAAGCACAGAATACTAGCGGTGATTTCCACACTGAGTCTAGAGTGATACTTGAACCAGACTTAGCAGATAATGTAAATAATTCGGAGGATGAGGACCAGCAACCAGAAATTGTTAAAACAGATCAACATCCCACTGATACAAAGGATGAATCATGGGAAACTATTGATAATGTAGGCGGAAATGAAATATCAAAGGGAGACAACTCCAACAGGACAGTTGGAGATACAGAATATGGCAATGAACAAAATGACGACAATTACTCCATGATTTTTGATGAATACAATTCCTGGGATGATTCAGATTCGGATCAAGATGAAAGGAAAGTTTCCAGAAGGAGAAAATCTTCCTTGGGATCACGGAAACAGCCATCTGAGGCAAGAGACACTACTGAGGTCACAAATCCCACGGGGAATGCTGCCACTGATACTCTGGTGAAAGTTGACTTAGATCAAGATAGAAAAGAAACTTCAGGTGGAGCATCTGAAATGGACCAAAAGGATCTAGCATCGATGCAAACGATTCAACCAGTGATCAATGGTCAGGAAGAATCTGTTGTTGACAAGACTGGTGATTTAGTTACAACCCAGAGCATTGAGTCAGTTATTAAGAGAAACAAAAAACCAGTTATACAACGAAGTAACTCGCAAGTGATTATTCGGAATGACCAACCGATTGTAGGCAGAATTGACAAACCAGTCATTGAACGAAAACATACCCCGATAATCCTTCGAAGTGCAGAAAAGGTCATTACTCGAAGCGATCGGCCAATTATTAGTAGGAGTAGCGCTCCGATATTGAGTTGGAAGTCCGAACCTGAAGTGATAGATAGCCAAACAGAATTAGAAGAACAAGCATTGGACGGAGATAGTAAACCAGAGGGTCTTTCATCAATGTCCATGGATGATGGACACAAACAAAAAATCCTTCAACCAGTGAAAGTACACTCATTCTCCTCAAATATCTTAAAGCCACAAAATATCAACTCAAATGTGGTATCAGACCTGAGCATGGACACAACGAAAGGAACAACTCCGCGGACAGATCCAGAAGGATCACTGAGTTCATACGTTCCTGTCGAATTTCTGGCACAGGATCCTATACTTTCTAAAAATCTAGACAAGATGGACTTTGACCCTGACACTGTCAGTCTGTCAGATAGGCATGGACCCATGAAAGATCCTGAACCTGTTACAAGGGAGGTGTCAGACCTCATCAGCTTTTTTGAAAATTCAGCAAAATCTCCTGAAAGTTCACTGACTAATTTGACACCAGTAAAGCCGCATGCTAAACCAGTCAAACAAAGCGAAACCAATGTGGCAGGGCCTCTCCCACAGTCAATTGTCTCTCTGGATGAAAATGTAAATAGTTCCATGCAAGAACAGACAGAACAAGTTGTTATCAGAAGTTCACAAAAAACTCGTCAGTTTTCAAAACCACTTATCGACATTCAGGATGAAAAATGTGAGGATGTTATAGAGTTTGAAGTCACAGAGGAAGTTGCAGATCCTTTTTCATTGCAACATCTGCAGAGTATTGAAAAGGGTGATGAAAAGACAGGTCAAATGGCTGCTGTTGAAGAAAAAGATAGCACTGAACCAGTGGCCCAAGGTAACATTGAACTGTTGTCTGATGCTTCTCGGGAAACGGTGCATGGAATCACAACCATAGAAGCAAGCACTCCCTCTAGTAGAGAACTAAACCTTGAAACAGGAGTGCAAGAGTCCAAGAAGAAAAACCCCAAAAGCAAAAAAACGGAAAATGCTTTAGACGAGCCTGATGCACGAAGGGTATATTACCAAGCT